TCATTTCTGCCAGTTCTACACAGAATTACTCAGACTGAAACAGGCCATTCGATCCATTGAATCAGGCTGGTGTTCATCCTCCACAAGTCTCCTCTTTATACCCTCTTCCACACCCTTCTGTTCTCTTAAATAATCCTCACATTTGATATAGTGCCCCTCATGTTGAGAAGACATCTCAAAGCACTAACAATATACTCTAGAGTGACCATGTATCTAGGATCTAGGTGAATCCCTTCTCCCTCATGTCTCCTGCCTTGTCTAGATAACCTGGCAATAGTTCATCAGTCCGGGTCATCTACCTCTTGATGTTCCACCCATCTTGAACCTCAGTAGTGACCAAGTCCAATGTTGAGAGACTCATGTACTTTGAGACGGACATTGTAAGATCTGTTCAAATTAAAATGGACAGTGAAACTTTGGCTTATGGTTATGGTTTATAGTTAAGGTTAGTGCTTGGTTTAATACAACAACAAATTGGACTTATGCAGCCCCTTTCATGTCGGGAGCATGTCCCAAGTTGCTGGAAATAATTAGAAACTTTAAAAATAATAATTGGGTTTAGACGATTGCTAAAGTTTGGTCACAAGGTTAAGGTTCAATGATGTAGTTTGAGGACGAGTTGCTGGCTATCTTGTGTATCTGCTGACAGATAGACAAGGCAGTCCGATTGGGTGGGTTTTGTTGCTACTGTGAGTGGAAAAAAAAGTCTTGGGGACGTATCTAATTTTTAAGTTTTTAATTTAAATCTGAAAAATGTCCTCCCCACTCTCTCCCATTCAGAACCTTGAAGGTTGAGGTGAGAGGAGAAGTGGTGGAGGAGGATGGAGTGGTCCACGGTATCGAAGGTGGTAGAGAGTTCAAGGAGGATGAGGAGGCAGAGGGAGCCCTGGTCACAGATGGACAGAATGTCATTTGTGTCCTTGACCAGAGCAGTTTCCGTGCTGTGAGCACGGAGGGGCTTGTGAAGGGAGTGGTAGAAGAGGAAGAAGTGAAGCTGGGAAGCAATGACTCTTTCAAGGACCTTGGAAAGAAGAGGGAGGTTGGACAGGGGCTGGTAGTTAGAAAGCAGGAATGGGTCTAGAGAAGGTTTTTCAGGATGGGGTTGTTTTTCGCTGTTTTTTAGGGGGATGGGCACGGTACCAGATGATAGGGAGAGATTGATGGGGTCGGAGAGTAGAGGGGTGAGGAGGTGGAGCTAGGAGGTGAGGAGAGGGGAGGGGATGGGACTAAGGGAACAGGTGGTGTATTTCATACTGGATATCGTGGTGGTGAGAGGAGGATACAGGTTCGAAGATGTGGAGGAAGGGATGGGTAGGGTTAGAGTGTGGTGGGGAAAAGGGAAGGAAGTGGTGGTTGGGAGGGCGGAGGCAGCCGAATGGATCCCACTCGATTTTGGACTCAAGGAAATCCAGCATCTCCTCACAGTCGGAGTTTGAGGAGAGAACGGGCGAGGCGTGGGAGGTTGAATGAAGGAGCCGGTTGGTGGTGGAGAATAGGAGCCTGGGTTGTCCTTCACCTCCAAGATTATCTTGGAGTAGAAGGATGATTTGGTGGAGGCGAGGGCGGAGTGGTACATTTTGATGGGGTCCAGCCAGGTCTGCCGGTGGACCGTTAGGTCAGATTTGAGCCAGGTGCGTTCAGTGGCCCACACCTGACCCTTGAGGGAGTGGAGGTGGCTGGTGTACCAGGGTGAGGTTTGTGAGTAGGAAGCGGTTTGGGAGGTGAGTGGGGCAAGGGCATCAAGAGTAATGGAGAGGGATTTGTGGAGGAGAGTGAACGAGGAGGATAAATCAGTGCAGGAGGTAGACCAGTGGGGGAGGAGTTCATATGACTCCAGTGCAGTGGTGAGGGATTCCGGGGAGATTTTTTCCAGGGGTGATGGAAGTGGGAGATGGAGGTAGATTGGGTGGCGGTGGGAGAGGGATTGAGGAGTTATCTCGAAATAATCACGGGTAATCACGAAGTCGAGTGGGTGACCATGAACATGGGTGTCAGAATGGATGTGGAGGGAGAGATTGTGAGAGTAGAGGAGGAAGAGTCAGAGGAGAAAGAGCCGGAGGGGGTGAAGTGAAGGTTCAAGTCACCGAGGATGAGGAGGCGTTCAGAACAGAGGCAGAGGGAAGCTAGGAGGATGGAGATGTCAGAGATGAAGCTGAGGGAGGTTGGGGGGGGCAGGAAATGAGGAGAATTTTGAGGGAAAGAAATTAGATGAAACTAAGCCGCGGCAACAATAAAATAACATTTTTAAAGCGCTGAGTCTTCCCAGATGAGATAAAGATGAAATGTCTGGTGAAGCTGCAACAGGTCCAACTAGTAATATATATGTGGAGGGCTGTAGCTCAGTGGTTAGAGCGCCCACCTCGCAAGCGAGAGGACCTGGGTTTGATTCCTGGGCAGGACAAAACATTGGGCAAGTTTCCTGATCCACACGCCTGTTTACTCGGCAGTAAGTAGGAACCCGGTTGTCAGTCGATTGGCGGAGCTCATTTCCGGGGAATGTAAGCTGATGAAAGAGAGCGGCTGAGACAGCCCACCCTTCTCATCTCGGGTGGGCTGGTTGCTGTGTAAGAGAATTTGTTGCAAAGAAACGACCAGTATCAACTGGTCAGTAAAACCACTGGTGCCACCCGATGAGGGGTTGGCGCCGCCGCAGTAGGAGGGAGTCAGGGTGGCCGCACGACAGGAAAAATTTGTGTCACGTGAAGGAGAGAGACAGCTGCCATTTTATACCGGGACAGAGAGAGAAAAACTCCTCCGAGACTGTGTCTGTGTAAGAGACACGGTCTTTTAAGTAAGATTATTCACTTAGTCATAATTATTATAATTCATAATTATGCATAATTTATACACAGCGAACTCCTGATTCCTGGTCATTCCCTGGAAAAGTCGCTCGGTGACTACTTCGAGGGGTTTCAATGAATACCTGAATAAATGTGGCCAAGATATCGATAGCATGTTGACTCAGTGGTGACAGCACTCGCCTCGTGAGCGAGAGACCTGGGTTCGATTCCCGGCAGGTCAGGGCGAAACATTGGGCAAGTTTCCTTACTCCACACTCCTGATAATAATCCCTCAAAAAAACTCAATAATAATAAAGTTGGTCATTTTTAATCCACGACTGTGCGCAATTGGCCGCTGCGTTTCGCCCACAAATATACAGTCGATTCACTTTATAGTCTATTCAGTGAAGCGCTTTGAGATGTCGAGAAGATGTGAAAAACACTATGTCAAATGCAAAGATTATTATTATTATAGACTCAGAGACACCGCGGCAGAGGAGGAGGGCAGATAACAACATACAACCGTCACCATTCTCTCCCGGAGGAAGGATTGGATCACCTTTAACCTGGAGGGTCACCGGGTCTAAATGTAAATTCACACCCAGACACACACCGACAGACACCCAGACACCCAGCCAGACACACACCGACACACACCCAGACACCCAGCCAGACACACACCGACACACACCCAGACACCCAGCCAGACACACACCGACACACACCCAGACACCCAGCCAGACACACACCGACACACACCCAGACACCCAGCCAGACACACACCGACACACACCCAGACACCCAGCCAGACACACACCGACAGACACCCAGACACACACCGACAGACACCCAGACACACACCGACAGACACCCAGACACACACCGAAAGACACCCAGACACACACCGACAGACACCCAGACACACACCGACAGACACCCAGACACACACCGAAAGACACCCAGACACACACCGACAGACGCCCAGACACCCAGCCAGACACACACCGACAGACACCCAGACGCACACCGACAGACACCCAGACACACACCGACAGACACCCAGACACCCAGCCAGACACACACCGACAGACACCCAGACACACACCGACAGACGCACACCGACAGACACCCAGACACACACCGACAGACGCACACCGACAGACACCCAGACACACACCCAGACACACACCGACACACACCGACACACACCGACAGACACCCAGACACACACCGACACACACCCAGACACACACCGACAGACACCCAGACACACACCGACAGACACCGACAGACACCCAGACACACACCGACACACACCCAGACACACACCGACAGACACCCAGACACACACCGACAGACACACACGGACAGACACCGACAGACACCCAGACACACACCGACACACACCCAGACACACACCGACAGACACCCAGACACACACCGACAGACACCCAGACACACACCGACAGACACACACGGACAGACACCGACAGACACCCAGACACACACCGACACACACCCAGACACACACTGACAGACACCCAGACACACACCGACAGACACCGACAGACAGGTGGCGCTGGGCTGTAGGGGGCGCTGTGGGCGGCGCTGGGCTGTAGGGGGCGCTGTGGGCGGCGCTGGGCTGTAGGGGGCGCTGGGCTGTGGGCGGCGCTGTGGGCGGCGCTGGGCTGTGGGCGGCGCTGGGCTGTAGGGGGCGCTGTGGGCGGCGCTGGGCTGTAGGGGGCGCTGTGGGCGGCGCTGGGCTGTAGGGGGCGCTGTGGGCGGCGCTGGGCTGTGGGCGGCGCTGTGGGCGGCGCTGGGCTGTGGGCGGCGCTGGGCTGTAGGGGGCGCTGTGGGCGGCGCTGGGGCTCAGGCCTTGTCTCGGGCTCAGGTGGAGGCCGGGGATGGCGAGCGGTGGGGGGACTGTGACGGCGCTGTGGACTGAGGTGAACCGCTGCGGCCAAAGCGGGGATTACAGCCGAGCCCTGAGATCACTGAGCAAGAGTAAGGGCAGCGCCGGGGGCTCCCGGGGGGGGGCAGGAGGGGGGCTCCCGGGGGAGGGGGGCTCCCGGGGGGGGGCAGGAGGGGGGCTCCCGGGGGGGGGGGGGGCAGGAGGGGGCTCCCGGGGGGGGGGGCAGGAGGGGGCTCCCGGGGGGGGGGGGCAGGAGGGGGGCTCCCGGGGGGGGGGGGGCAGGAGGGGGCTCCCGGGGGGGGGCAGGAGGGGGGCTCCCGGGGGGGGGCAGGAGTAGGGGGCTCCCGGGGGGGGGGCAGGAGGGGGGCTCCCGGGGGGGGGGGGCAGGAGGGGGGGGGCAGGAGGGGGCTCCCGGGGGGGGGCAGGAGGGGGCTCCCGGGGGAGGCAGGAGGGGGCTCCCGGGGGGGGGCAGGTGGGGGGGTGGGGGGGTGGGGGGGCAGGTTTGGGGGGTGGGGGGGCAGGTTGGGGGTGGGGGGGTGGGGGGGGCAGGTTGGGGGGTGGGGGGGTGAGGGGGGCAGGTGGGGGGGGGGGGCAGGTTGGGGGGCGGGGGGCAGGTTGGGGGGCGGGGGGGGGGCAGGTGGGGGGGGGGGCAGGTGGGGGGAGGAGGAGGAGGGGTGAGTGTGGAGATGGTGACGTGGACTGAAAACAATGAAAATTTTCACTTATCAGTGATCACATTCCCTCTGATCATCAATGGTGATCAATATTCCCTCTGATCATCAATGCTGATCAATATTCCCTCTGATCATCAATGGTGATCAATATTCCCTCTGATCATCAATGGTGATCAATATTCCCTCTGATCATTAACGATGATCGGTATTCGCTCTGATGGCCATGAATGGTGATGGTGGTTGTGCTGCGCTGTGGCCGGGGCCGGGGCTGTGGCCGGGGCTGTGGCCGGGGGTCGTTGCTGTGGCCGGGGGTCGGGGCTGTGGCCGGGGGTCGGGGCCGAGGCCGGGGGTCGGGGCTGTGCCGTGGTCGGGGTCGGGACCGCCCTCCGGGAGGTGTAGATTGCGGCGGATGTTAAAGATCCCGTTACACTATTCAAAAGGAGAAGGAAATTGCTGTCAGTTTTCTGACCGATAATCCCCAAAATAAAATTGGTCATTGGCTTCGCAACTGTTTGTGGGACATTGTTCTGTGTGAATTGGCCGCCGTGTTCACCTACAGGTGCAGTCACTACATTTTGTGATCGTGACAAAGTCGCCACTTGTATCTTGTGGTTTGTGCAGAGTTCAACACGTGCAGATTTTTTTCTCTCCGCAGTATTGCAAGACAACAAGGATGATGCGACCGCTCTGCATTGTAAGGTGGTCTGCCTGGTCCAGAATGGAAATTTTAAGGAAGCTCTTAATGTAATCCATACGCACACCAAAGTCCTTACCAGGTGAGGCACAAATGTTCAAAACTAGTCGGCAAATAGCCTTCATTAAATAGAAAGTGAAATAGAAAGCCTTAATATTTACTGCAAAATTATCAGCCATTATTGAACTGCTCACCTTTGATTTGCTTTATTTTGTGGAAGAACAGTGGGTTTAACACTGTTAACGCTGTTCGAAATGGTATGATATGGTAACGCTGATATCAGAAAGTGAAATTTTTCGTGATTAAACCATATGCTCTGCAAATTAATTCAGTGTTTAAAAAAAAAAGTTCATTATTGTTTTCTGATGTTAATCTCGTGTGGAAAAGATTGAAGGTTGGGGACTTTTGTTCTGCGTGTAGAAAGCAATCATCTTTCTTTCGGCTCAAGAATATGTTTTTAGTACTCTGATCATTCATGGTCTATATGAGTTCAGGCAACAACAACATCTTGCATTTATATAGCGCCCTCACAACGAGCCAGGGGGAGGGGGGAGGTGACCGTGATAAGCACGATCAATAAGGAAGGCCTTTAGGTGGGATTTGAAAGTGGGTAGTAGGGGCAACCTGGAGTTATTGAGGGGCACTGGTAGAAAACGTGTTGGCATGAGCAATGTGAGGAGGGTGTCGCAGCCCAGACTTGTGCTGTTTGATAGGCGGAGGAAAGGGGAGCACAGTTCAGGTTTATGCCGTTTGCTGTGGTGGGAAAAGGATATCACAGATTAGGATTATCTCACTGCTATTGTGGGCAATGGGAAGGCTAACATATCCTGTACTCTCACCCAGTGACTGGCAACAAGGAACGGCAATGCTGGCTGCTTTACTCATTAGTCTGAAACAACAACTTGGACTTATATAGCGCCCTTCAGGGTAGTGTCTCAGAGCGCTTAAAGCTCAGGGGATTGAGTGGTCACAGAGTACTGTATCATCACGTTACTATAGACGGCAGTGTTTTCTATAAGGGGAGTTCTTTGTTTTCCCCCTTTTGGGGGAGAAACGTTATAGCTTCCTTGTGATGGTCGAGAATGGAACAACTTTCTTAACAGCAAAGTCAGGAAAATAATAGGTCTCCGTTTTGGTTGTATTGGTTTTATTCTGATTTTATTTAACTTATACAATAGTTATTTTTTCTGTTCAACAACAACAACTTGCATTTATATAGCGCCTTTCATGTGGGGAAGTGTCCCGGAGCGCTTACTATTCTGAAGTTTTGGGAATGGATAGGGAAGATGGAGCAGCCCACATCAGATGCCATCTAACAAGTTCAGCTGAAATGTTTGTGTAGAACAAAATCTTGTGACGCCAGAAGTTGCAGGAGCTCGTTCCTGTTGCTGATGAAACACTGAGAAGCTCATTAAAAAAAAAGTTAAAAGTTAAAAGTTAAAAAAGTTAAAAAGTTTGTTAGTGCAAATCAGATAAAGCGGAAGCAAAGAGATATATAATATTGTGGCTGTATTTTGTATAAATATATATTGTGGCTCTATTTTGCCTCTGTTTAAATCCTGGTTTTGTCATCTCGATTCAAAAAAAAATCTAATAGTTGAGATAATATCTCATATCTTCTCTCTCCTGTTGCCTGATCACAGTGATCTAATAGCTTTCGAGAAGGCGTACTGTGAATACAGACTGAACAGAGTTGAAAACGCATTGAAGACTATTGAAAGCGTTGAGAAGCACAGTGATAAATTAAAGGAACTATATGGACAAGTGGTACGTAAACATTCTTTTACAATTATTTAACTCCAACCGTTTGGCTGCTGCAGGCCGCATTCCCTATTTGAGAACGGTCTGTGGGCCCCAGAAACAATATTTTATCTTTCCCTTCCAGAATTGTAACATTTACCCAGCACATTTTTCATGCAGAAGGACATCTTAACACTGTCGGTTGAGCACCTGAGTTGGGGGTGGGTGCCGAGAGGTGGGTTTGGGGAGAGGAAAAGATGTGGTCAAAGAGTTAGGTCTTGACGTGCCTTGAAAGAGGAGGGAGGGAGGAAATCAGAGGGACTCCAGGAATGGAGGTCCAGAGAGCGGGGGCAGATGGGTGGGGAGACATGGAGCAAGCCGACCTTTACTGGGCAAAGGAACAGCTTGGTCGGGAGATCGCAGAGGTAGGATAGGGAGAAGGGGATGAAGGACGTGGAGGAGTTTGTCACTGGGGAAAGGGAGTTATCTGTGAGGAAACTACGGCTAATCACCCAGTGTCTGTCCTCGTCTGTTTCCCCCCCCCCCCCCCCCCCGCTGCGGCTGAGGGAGGCTCCAATCGTCTGTCCTGACAGTGACTATGAAACTGTCCTCACGTCTCTCTCTGTGCTCTCTCATTCTTTATGCTTTTCTCCTCTTCTCCCTCTCTCTCTCAATCTCACCCTCTCTCTTCCACTATCATCTCTCGCTCTCTCACACACACACTCTCCCCCTCTCTCAATCACTCTCTTTCCCCCCTTATACTCTCTCTATATTACAAAGAATGATAATCCCTCCAAAAAAAACTGCTGTGTGCAATTGGCTGCCGCGTTTTGCCCACAAATATACGGTCAATTCACTTTACAGTCTATTCTGTGAAACGCTTTGAGACGTCGAGAAGATGTGAAAAGCGCTATATCAAATGCAAGGATTATTATTTATTATTATTATTAGACAATATACTGTAAAGGGAATTGACTGTATATTTTGTGGGCGAAACACGGCAGCCAATTGCGCGCAGTAGTGTCCCACAAACTGAATTTTTTTTATTTAATATATTTTTTGAAGTTAGAGCAATCCGCCAATCAACTAACAACATGCAAGGATTATTATTTTTATGATTGCTGTCCTTTGGATGGGATGGTAAGCTGAGATCGTGTCTGCCTGTTCAGGTGGATGTTAAAGATCCCATGGCACTATTCGAAAAGAGAAGGGAGTTTCTCTCTCCGGTGTCCTGACCGACAATCCCCCAAATAAAATTGGTCGCTCGCTCCATTTTTGGGACATTGCTGTGCACATTGGTTGCTGTGGTCACCTACTAGAACAGTCGACCTACACCTCTCAGAAAATCCTGTGAAGTGTTTTTGAGCTGTTTCAACAACTTGGTAAAGCTCTGTATCAAACGCTAGAATTATTTCATATTAACTGTTCAAAAATAACCTCACACTTATGCAGAACACACCAAAAAGGAAAGCTGTGCTTATAATTTTGTTAGCTCTAATGATCTTGCTTCCTTTGGCCAATTATTGATCAAAATCTATCTGTAGCCTTTTGTTAAGCTGTTACTTTACGTGGGTATTTGTAACTTCAGTTATACAGGTTGGAACGGTACGAGGAATGTTTGTCAGTTTATCGAGACTTGATTCGAAACTCGCAAGATGACTATGAGGAGGAAAGGAAGACTAACTTGTCTGCTGTTGTGGCAGCATTAAGTACCTGGGAGAATTCCTCTCCAGTAAGTATCACAGTGTAAATTGTTATTACCTCATTTGAGTGACTATTTTTTTCATGTGTGAGACTTCTCACTGAATCACAGCAGGCAGTTTAAATGTGCGAAGGCACACAGTCAAGATTAATTCTGTTTCCCACCTGAAATCTATGTGTAGAGTTCCAGCACAGGACACCAGTGTCTCCATTGAGAGAAAAGCTTTTTAACACAAGCCCGGTGACTTTCTTATCTATGAACCTGAATCAAAGTTCGGCTTTGGTGTTCTGGCAGGAGAAGGACAATCATTAGCACCATAACCCCCCCAAGGAGGTCTTTATGGTATTGAAATTCTATATATCACTATTTTTATGTTTTATTTACTTCCCTTGTGAGATTACTATCACTGAGGCAGGCTGACACAGTAGTTGCAGTAGCAGGCTGCTAGTATTACCCAGAGCTAAAACTAACCGTGAGGGTTCCTGCACCTTACTATTATCTGGTGATTTTGGCTAGAAAATGCATCCATGATATCGGTTAGGCATCAGCCATTGTGTGCCCAATTGTATTGTTGGCTGCTGACGCTTTCCTAAGCTAAAATAATAATGCTTGTATTTGATTTAGCTCCTTATCATGTCGTTGAGACGTCTCAAAGCGCTTCACACGATATACTGTAAAGTGGATTGACTGTATTTTGTAAGTTAATGACCGAGTGAGCATGAGGGTAAGATGACCATTACTTAGTGAATTACGCAGATTAGTAAGAATGGAGGCGACAGAAAATACAACATGGAGTATGTTGTCTGCGATATCTGAACTTTGTGAGAAGTTGACGTTTTAGGAGCTAATGTATTCAATCAGGTTCTTTTGGGGAAAAAATAATGTGAGACACACTTTTATTTTATTTCACAGGAAGATTTGGGCTTACCTGAGACTTCCTATGAGCTGTGTTACAATGCCGCTTGTACTTTGATTGGTGAAGGCAAGCTAGCCAAAGCTATGAAGAAACTTCAGGAAGCTGAAGGTAAAATATTAGGACCTGCTGTAGGGGTCATAACAACAACAACTTGGATTTATATCGCGCCCTTCACGCCGGATGGAGTCTTGGAGCACTTAATAGTGGCGGAGATCGATGACGAGCCAGGGGGAGGGGAAAGTGACCGTAGGCATGGTCGAAGAGGAAGGTTTGCAAGCGTGACCTGAAAATGGGGAGAGGGGGCAAGGCTGAGGGATTGAGGGAGAGAGTTCTACAGCTTCGGGGTGTAGTGGCTGAAAGCACGGTTGCCGATGGTGAGGCAGAGGGTCCAGGGGACAAGAGGAGATAGTTTCCAATTGAGCAGAGGCAGCAGGTAGTGGTGTAGAAAGAGAGCAGGTTGGAGAGATGGGGGCGGGGGGTGATCTTGAATTGATCTGCTCTGTGACGGAGCCAATGGAGTTTGACGACCTGGGGTAATGGAGGTACGGAGTTTAGTGCGGGAGAGAATGCGAGCAGCAGAGTTTTGAAAAACATTAGATATGGTCATTAAATGTTTCTAGAGAACTCTTGTGTTTTATAATCGCACTTCTTTTATTTCAGAATTGTGCCGTCAGTCATTTTCTGAAGATACTGTGAGTATTTGTTATGATGGTTCTTCTCAATCTCACTGCATTTACCTTTGCTCCTGGCTGATTGTTTGCACAATAGCAATGTAACTGATTGAGCAAGGCGGTGGGGAGGAGTGGGGGGTGAAAGGCAGACAAGTTTGTTTGGGGTAAAATTCTGTGTTTTGGTGCTCGAATTATCATTGGTATCCGAAGTATCTGCAAATAGATCTGTAGCATATGCTTCGAGAGTCTTTGGAGAATATTCCAGGGAGAACTGATTAAGAAAGTGCCAAAACATTGTAGTCTAATGAGTTTCACAATATTGTAGTCATGTACATAATAATAATAATCCTTGCATTTGATGTAGCGCCTTATCAGGTCTTCAAGACGAATATACTGTAAAGTAAATTGCCTGTATATGTTGTGGGCAAAACTCAGCAGCCAATTGCGTACAGCAGTGTCTCACAAACGGTCATGGATTAAGTGACCGAATTATTGTTTATTTATTTATTGAAGGGATTATTACCCCCCAGAAAAGCGATCCGCCAATCGACTAACAACTGCTATCTCTCCAAGGAACTTGTTAATTAGGTTCCTACTTACTGCTAGGTAAACTACGGCGTGTGGAGTAAGTAACTTGCCCAGTTTCACCCTACCGGGAATCGAACCCAGGAACTCTTGCTTGCGAGGCGAGTACTCTTAACTACTGAGTTACAGTACTCTAATGACCAAGGACTCCAAGAACCTACCTACAACAAATATTGCTCATTCTTGTGTTTGAATAGTTTAATAAAAGATGCAAATGAGAGACTGGAGTCTTGATGCCTCCAAAAATCAGTAACTTTAGTAGCTCTAGGGATCATTAAACATTCTTGTTTGTGTGGCCCATTTCATTTTCAGTGTTTTATTGAACTATTTGATTGTGCAATTGCACAATATTTTGTTCTAGTTGCTTCTTGTCACCAACATGAACAGCAGTCTTTTAGAGGATTTTTCAATAGACTCGTACCTCTTGGCAGTTTTAAGGAGAACTGGAAACTTGATGGCACATAAACATACAACTTGTGATCAACAAGTCTATATTGTTTTTATTTTGAGGGTCTGAATACTGCCTTTTCCAAGAGGATTAATGCGAGTACTGTTGAGTAAAACTCTTTATTCTGTTCATCCTCATGGGAACTTGCTAACATGATCCAGGGTGGTAGATTGTTCCCACTTCGCAGAGAAGCAAATCTTATTGCAATCTCTCCAAGGACTTTGTTGAATTAGGGTCGGCTTTATCCTGTGGTCCAACGTCCGGTCAGATCTGGATTCAAATTACCAAAACTAATTTCAACAACAACTTGCATTTATACAACGCCCCTCATGCAGGGTAGCTTCCCAGAGCGCTTGACAGTGGTGGAGCAGGACGCTGAGCTGGGGGAGAGGGAGGTGACCGTAAGCACAGGTCAAATAGGAAGGTCTTCAGGCGCAACCTGAACATGGGGAAGCAAGGGGGCAAGGCAGAGCAATAGGGGGAGAGTGTTCCAGAGTTTTAGGGGGTAGTGGCTGAAAGTGCGGCCATCAATAGTGGAACGGAGGGCACGAGGGAAGGCCGGTGCCAGTCGAGCGGAGGCTGCGGGTTGTGGATTAGGGGGTAAGTAGGTCAGAGAAGTAGGGAGATGCCAGGGCGATTCGAAAATGAGTGTGAGGATCTTGAAATTGATCCGTTCGTCGATGGGGAGTAGCCCACAACTATGCAGAGAGACTTTCATCACACCAGCTGGATTTGAACCTAACCCCAGAGTGAAAGGACTTTTCAAATCCTCTGTAATACCTAATCCCTGATGTTTACCACCTTTTATTAATACCTTGTAAATGGGACAAGGTTTTTCATGAGTTGACCAAATCTGCACAACATTCAGAAATAGAAATAGTAGTTTATTAAATTATTCTCCTTCAGCCCCACAGAAGTGTGAATGCTTGTCTAGCTCAGTTTACAGTATATGTGCCTCCCTTCCCCTTACAGATGTCAGGGTGCAAACTCTGGACTGTTCCTTTCCCCCTAATCAGTTTCTGACCTATGCCCACGTAATGTTTAGACCTCTGCTAATGCTTTCTTAGAAGGTGCTGAGAGTGGCTGGAGGTAACATCTATATCCATTCCTTGCAGGGAAAAGACTGCTTCCTCTCACAATGGTGATGCTAGGCTTAGAAACGTCATGAAGGACAATAATCCACACACTCTGAAGGTGGCAGAACAGGTTGATAAGAGCTGTTAAAAAAAAAATCTGGAATCCTTGGCTTTATAAATAGAGGCATAGAATACAAAAACAAAGAAGTTCTGCTAAACTTTTATATCACTGTTTAGGCCTCAGGAGGAATATTGTGTCCAGTTCTGGGCACCACACTCAAGGCCTTGGAGAGGGTGCAGAGGAGATTTACCAGGATGGTACCAGGGATGAACGACTTTAGTTATGTGGAGAGACTAGAGAAGCTGGAATTGTTCTCCTTAGAGCAGAGAAGGTTGAGGGGAGATTTAATAGAGGTGTTCAAAATTATGTGGAGTTTTCATAGAGTAGATAGGGAGAACTGTTTCTAATGGAGGTAGGTCGGTAACCAGGGGACATAGAATCAAGATTATTGCCCCCCAAAAAGTTTTTACTCAGAGAGTTGCGACGGTCTGGAATGCACTGCCTGAAAGGGTGGTGGGAACAGATTCAATAACAACTTTCAAAAGGGAATTTGATAGGTAGTTGAAGAGGAAAAATTTGCAAGGATATGGGGAGTTGGTAGTTGGTAGCTCTTCTGAAGAGCCGACACACGCACAATGGGCCAAATGGCCTCCTGCACTGTAAGATTCTCTGAATCTATGTGGGAATCAAGAGTACAAACTCACTGTCACTGATTTAAACCCATTTGCTGTCCTATATCATCTTTTCTGGTCAATTAAATTGATTGGAATGTAATTATTATTATTGTAATAGTTAATCTTAACTAAGATTCTGGGACCTACTTTCTGGTGATAAGCTTGATGGGAACGTTGGGATACAGTGTGTTTCATCTTGTTATCAACAAGAACGCAATTATATAGCGCTCGTTGCACCAAATGATGTCTCGGAGCGCTTCAAGATGCTTTATAAAATGTTTCAAAATCTTGATCTCACTTTAAACAATTGAGTGTGTTTTTCTCTCCTGAAATATTGTAAAATCTTGCCCTCATAACTGACTGGTGGCTACCTTGTGCAGGATATGACTGATGAGGACATTGATGCTGAGTTGGCTATAATCCACGCTCAGATGGCATATGTAATGCAGCTTCAGGGGCGAACAGATGAGGCTTTGCAGCTCTACAATCAAGTCATCAAACTGAAGTAAGCAACACACATGGTGTGAAATCTCACTCTCAGGGACTCTTATTCTACGGAAACGCTATATCAGTGAGCGAATAGTAAACCTGTGGAACAGGCTCCCGAGGGAGACGGTTAAAGCAGGAAATGTTGATTCCTTCTAACACAGATGAGATAGTTTTCTTTCAGGAAATAACATTATGGGATGTAGCACATCGGTAGTTTGGGTCGTGTGTGCATGCGCCCGCCAGGAAGATGGAAGGTGAACTAGATGGACCTTGGTCTTTTTTTTTGTCTAGCATTTCTTATGTTCTTATGTAAAGTCATTCTGAGTGAACTAAGAGAGTCAACTGCATTTTATTCCTTCCTCTGCAGGCCCTCAGATGTTGGACTCCTGGCTGTGACTGCCAATAACATTATTACACTAAACAAGGTAATTCATTGTCCTGATGTGTTCAGGGTGGACTTAGTGGAGAGTGAGAGCGCTGTCACGTATTTGCCTTGGTCAGAATTTGATTAAGTTCAACGATAACAACAACTTGGATTTATATAGCGCCCTTCACACTCTGTGACAGGGAGCCAATGGAGTTTGACAAGGACTGGGGTAATGGAGATATGGTCTTTAGTGTGGGTGAGAATGCAGGCGGTGGAAGTGCAGATGTCAGGGTGCAAACCCTGGACTGACCAGCCCTTGGGACGGCCTCCCGAAGCAATGTGACATGTGACAGGCACTATAGTAAATCACCAGTTTACAGGTATTCGGAATTCATACCTAGCTGTTACCCCCCCACCCTGCACACATGGTCCTCCGGCCAGCCTGGGGTGTTTGGCATCATATTTATTAAAAGCTTCTGTTACAAGTCCTAGTTTTTACAGGTATGTTGCTCTTCACTGCAAACATCACTCTGAATCGCCATGAAAAATTCACCACCATTTGGTTTCAATTATTTTAAATTGATGAATGTGAAGTCAGAATGGAAAGTAACAGTCTAATGTCTAATGAGATAACTTGTGCTGCTGTTTATTGCACAAAAAGCCAGGTTCAAGTGAAGGTGATGACACTTGGATTGCACGGTTTATGTTTATGATTTATTGATGTTCTGAAACTGGAGGTTCTGCTGTTTTTTTTTTGCACAAAATGTACAATGTTATACAATTGTACTTTGTAAAGAGAACTGACCGCTTAAATGGTCTGTAGATTTCCACAGTTGCTATCTCAGGGTCTGCATCTGTGCATTTTCGGGAGTGCAACTTTGTTCAGAAAAATTTATACCATGAGAAAGAGGCAGAAGGTTCTTGTGCCAATCCCCATTTGCCACCTCTGTCTTGATGAGGTGCGGTCTTTTCTCCCGTCTCTTTGCTCTGTGCGCTAGCTGTCAATCATAATCATTGTTGTGTTTCTCAGTAAAACTGGGAATAAAGATGGTAATAATAATAATCCTTACATTTGATATAGCGCCTTGTCACATTGTCAAGGTGTCTCAAAGCGCTTCATAGGATATACTGCAAAGTGTAGCGACTGCTTTGTGGGCGAAGCGTGGCAGCCAATTGCGCACAGCGACGTCCCATAAACAGTCGCGGATTGAGTGACCACATTATTATATTGTAATTTTTAGATTATTTCCAGCATTGTTTACTTCACCAAACACAATATCTTATTTTCCAATAACCACAATCACATCAGCTAACGTGTCCTTGAGACATTTATTTCTTTATTTAGTATTTCTGCTGTCATGATCTTCCACTGAGAGCTGAGACCTAGTTACTCCTGAGCTTTTGCTTCTGCAAATCTGGGAGAGAAACAGGACTTTTAATAGAAAACACAGGAGTTGCACAGAGCAATATTCCAAGTGTCATCACTTTCACTTGAACCTGGCTTTTTGTGCAAAATCAAGTTATCTCATTAGACTGTTACTTTCCATTCTGACTTCACATTCATCAAATTAAAATAAAAAATTGTCTAGCTGTCCACGATTAACTCTAAACTGAGGTGAGGCCTTCCTCTCCTCTCCGTACATCTTGTTTTTTTAATAAAACGATCTTTGTAAATTACGATTGCCAGTTTCACATTTGCAATTTGACCCTTCTGTTTAATTCTTGAAATGGTTTCTTGCAGGACCAAAATGTTTTTGATTCAAAGAAAAAAGTGAAACTGACCAACACAGAAGGGGTGGAACATAAGCTCACCAAGAAACAACTGCAGACAGTGGAAATCAACAAGGCTTTATTAGCCATGCACACAAATCAGGTAAAATAACAACTACATCCACTTTGAATCCTCTCTCTGTTTTTCTCACATAAATTAATGTCTTATTGAAGGACACTGGATTGTCAACCTAGACTGTGATGTGGGTCTTGAACCCAAAACCTAACCCAGAGGCAAAACCCATCACCATGATAAGCAATAGCCTATACAGATGTAAAATTGTGGGTATCTCCTCCTCTCTCTCCGTCCCTCTCGCCTTCTATCCCCACTTGACCCTCCCACAACCTCCCTCTGTTCCACCCTGGGAATCCTCCGCCGGGCGCACCGCGGCGCTCGGCGTTGGCTGTCCAGCAGCAGCCACACCGACTGCCCCATTCCCCACCACACTCGCCACCCACCCCGGGCACAGACCCGGGGAGTCAACCTCTCCTCCCTCATCCCCATTCCCCCCACCCCTGCCTCACAACCTGGAGCTCCCTCCCCTCCCACACACCCTTCTGTCAACCGCTCCCTTCACATAGGACTGCAAAATGTCCGCTCCCTCTGGAACAAGGCCCTGGTCATCAACGATCTCATCCTTGATGAGAGCGTTGATATCATGGCCTTAACAGAAACCTGGCTCACCCCAGGCGACACCTTCCCCTCACGGAGGCTACACCACCCGGCTACACCTCCCACCACATCCCCCGCCCCAACCGCCGTGGCGGTGGTGTTGCCCTTATCTCAAGGACACCACTTGCCCTATCCCCCTACTCCACTGGCTCTTTCCCCTCCTTTGAGCACCTCACCCTCTCCCACCCCTCATTCCTCTCCCTTAAAATCCTCCTCCTCTACCGGCCCCCTAAAACCTCTCCCACCTTCATCTCTGACATTTCAATACTCCTCACATCTCTTTGCCTTTGCTCTGATCGCCTCATCATCCTGGGCGACTTTAACCTACACTTCACACCCTCCTGCTCCATCTCCACAGACTTCTCTTCCCTGCTCTCTTCACTCAACCTCTCCTTACACATAAACTCCCCCACTCACAGTCACGGCCACCCACTCGATTTGGTGATCACCCGGGGCCTCAGTGTCTCGGATGTCACTATTACCGACAAGGCCATCTCTGACCACTACTTCATCTCCTTCACCACCTCCACTCCCCTCCCCACCTCCACCAGACCCACCACCATCTTCTACCGCCCTTGGAAGAAGTTACCCCCCACAATCCCTAACCGATGCCTTGGAGTCCTCTGAACTCCTCTCCCTCTGGCCACAACCCGACTCCTCCGTCCCCCCCGCCACCCCGCGCAGGTCATCTCCTCCAACCTTCACTGCGAGGAGATGCTGGATTTCCTTGAATCCAAGATCAAGGGAATCCGCTCCGCGGTCACTTCCCCTCCAACTTCCACCCACCACCCACCCCTTCCCTCCCACACTCCGACTCCTACCCATCCTCCCCTACACACCTTCGTACCCGTTTCCCCACCCTCTGTCACTGAACTCATCCTATCCCTAAAACCAACCACCTGCTCCCTTGACCCCATCCCCACTCCACTCCTTATCTCCCAGCTCCACTTTCTTGCCCCACATATCACTGACATCATCAACCTGTCCCTCTCCTCTGGCTCTGTCCCCATTCCATTAAAAACTGCCATCATCACGCCCACCCTGAAAAAACCCTCCCTTGATGCGTCGCAGCTATCAAGCTACCGGCCCATCTCCAACCTCCCCTTTCTCTCCAAGGTCTTGGAAAGAGTTGTCGCCTCCCAACTGCGCTCTTTCCTTTCCACCCATTCTCTTTTCGAACCCCTTCAGTCAGGTTTCCGTGCTGCCCATAGCACAGAAACTGCCCTGGTCAAGGTCACCAATGATATCCTGACCATCTGTGACCAGGGCTCCCTCTGTCTCCTCGTCCTCCTCGACCTATCGGCAGCATTCGATACGGTCGACCACGCTATCCTACTCCACCGCTTGTCCTCCCACCTCAACCTTCAAGGCACTGTCCTTGAATGGTTTAGGTCGTACCTTTCTCACCGTCTTCACTTTGTCTCGACGAATGGCTTCTCCTCCACCCCCCGTACTGTCTCATGTGGTGTCCCTCAGGGCTCTGTCCTCGGTCCCCTCCTCTTCACCCTCTATATGCTCCCCCTCGGTGACATCATCCGCAGACATGGAGTTAACTTCCACATGTATGCGGATGACACCCAACTCTACCTTTCCTCCTCTACTCTCAACTCCACGACCACCGATGTCCTGACAGCTGCCTGTCCGACATCGAGTCCTGGACGAGAGACAACTTTCTTCAGCTCAACGTGCGAAAAACCGAGGCCCTCCTGATTGGCTCACGTCAGCGCCTCCGCACCTCAGGCGCTGACACCATCAGCATCCAAGGCTGCACTCTCCACCTCTCAAAGCCAGTCAGGAACCTCGGCGTTTTGTTCGACCCTGAGCTGTCCTTTCTCCCTCACATCCGCACCACAACTGGCACCGCCTTCCATCACCTCCGGAACATCGCCAGACTACGGCATTACCTCACCCCTCACGCTGCTGAAACCCTGGTTCACGCCTTTGTCACCTCAAGGCTGGACTATGGGAACTCTCTCCTCGCCGGCCTTCCCGCCACCTCCCTCCACAAGCTGCAGGTCATTCAGAACTCTGCAGCTCGTGTACTGTCCCGCACCAGGCTTCGGGACCACATCACTCCCACCCTCGCTCGCCTCCACTGGCTCCCCATCCCCCAGAGGATTGATTTCAAGATCCTCATCCTCACCTACAAGGCCATTCACGGCCTTGCTCCCTCCTACCTCTCCGACCTACTATCCCCCTACCTACCTGCCCGTACCCTCCGTTCCTCTGGCTCCGGTCTGCTCCACGTCCCCCGCCCCAACCGCCCTACCATCGGTGGTCGGGCCTTCAGCCTCTCAGCCCCAGGCTCTGGAACTCCATCCCCCAGTGCCTTCGCCGCCTCCTCCCTTTCCTCCTTCAAGGCCGGTCTCAAAACCTTTCTCTTTGACCGAGCCTTCAGCTCCCCTCTCGACTCTCTACCCCCTCCTCGCTCCCTCCCTTCCCTCCCCTCACCTGACCATTTCCCCCCTCTCGCTCCCTCCCTTCCCTCCCCTCACCCTGACCATTTCCCCCCTCCTCGCTCCCTCCCTTCCCTCCCCTCACCCTGACCATTTCCCCCCTGCTCGGGTCATGACCCAACTGTGCAGCGCCTTGGGACGTCCTCCTGACGTGAAAGGCGCTTTATAAATGGAATCTTGTTGTTGTTGTTGTTTAATTTCAATGCTTTGCTGAATTGGGCCCTGGAATTAAGCCAGAGCAGCTACGGTAGTGGGAGAGTGGGACTGATTGGATAGCTCCTCCAAAGAGCCGGCACAAGCAAGATGGGCCGAATGGTCTTCTTCTGTACTGTAATATTCTATGATTGTATGCTGTAAGAAGAGTGTTATAACTGGGTCACAGTGTATCGTTGATGGATTGAGTTTCTTGTTAACTTATCAAAAGTTGTGATAATTGCTGTTTCCTCTAATGTGATTACAATTTAAAGAAAAGTAAAACATTAAATGTAATTTTTTCCCCTTGCAATTAGGCTGAACAGTGTCGGAAGCTAACACTGAGTTTGCAGAAACAAAATCCAGGGACTCCTTTGCCAGTGTTAATACAAGCAGCACAACTGTGTCGCGAGAAGCAACACATGAAGGCTTCTCAGCTCCTGCAGGTAAATCACACACAACAGAAAGGGTTTTCTTGTCAATATGTGGATACAAATAAATATATGGATCAAGAAGAGAATTGGAATAGGATTCAGTTGTACTGAAGGCAGTGTCAGGATTGACAGTGTCAGGACTAGTGGGTCAAATTGCCTGGGAGCCAAGTCATGATCAGGGAGTGGTTAGAAGCAGCTGGGGTGTCTGAGAGAGAAGCTTGAGCAATGGTGAGTTTGGTCTGGGAGTGGAGCTGGGTCAGTGGGGGTCTGAGTGGAACTGGGTCAGTGGGGGTCAGAGTGAAGGTGGGTCAGTGTAGTGTTGTTCAACTGTCCTTCATACCCCACATCTGTTCAATGACCCACTCTGCCTCCCCTCACCTCCGCAACATTGCCCGGCTCCACTACTGTCTCACACCGCAGGTTGCCGAGACCTTCTTGTACGCATTCGTAACATCCAGGCTCGACTATGCAAACTCGTTGACCTATATTACCGAGACAACAACAACAACAAAATCACATTTGTATAGTGCTTTTCACGTTGGGAGACGCTGCTGCATAGCTTTTTTTCCAGTTCCTGTTATTTCTTACGCTCCTAACTGTGTTTGGCTTGAAGGAGTTCTTGCAACAGCATCCAGAGAACACAGTTGAAATCAAGATGACGGTAGCACAGCTTTATTTGGTCCAAGGTAGGAACGAACGCATTTACTGAGTGCAGTTACAATGCTGGTAATATATGCAGAAGGTCATTTCTCTCAGCATTTGATATGGATTATATGTTCTGCTGCACACTATCTATATATAATAATAATCGTTGCATTTGATATAGCGCCTTATCACGTCTTCAAGTCATTGCAAATCGCTTCACAGCGATTATTATAATTATTATTATTGAATTTTTTGTAACGGATTATTATCCCCGGAAAAGCAATCCACCAATCGATTAACAACCGGATTCCTACTTACTGCGAGGTAAATGGAGGCATGTGTGTGGAGTAAAGAAACTTACCCAATATTTCCCCCTGCCCAGGAATCGAACCTGGGTCTCTCGCTTGCGAGACGTGCGCTCTGGAGAGAGACTCCACTGTCTCTCTCCTCCAGAAACAGAGGAGAGAAAGCTGTTTACTATTCTGCAGAATGCCATCTCCTTATATAGTGTTGTGTCTTTAGTCTCCATGCATCAAGTCCTGTAGCTTGGAGTCCTGTAGCTCAGTGGTTAGAGCACTCGCTTTGCAAGTGAGAGACCTGAGTTCAATTCCAGGCAGAGGGCGAAACCTTGGGCAAGTTTCCTTACTCCATACAGAGCCTAATAATAATCCCTCCAAAACCATAAACAATAATAAATTGGTCATTTTCAATCTACGACTGTTTGTGGGACATTGCTGTGCACATTTGCCCACAAATATACAGTCAATTCACTTTACAGTGTATTCTGTGAAGTGCTTTGGGACGTCCTCCCGACGTGAAAAGCGCTATATCAAATGCAAGGATTATTATTATTATTATTATTATCAACGTAAAACGTCAGTGTATGAAGTGAGCTAACTGCCCCGATAGTTTTTGTTTACAAAAGGCAATCAATATAAAAGGCACTGTAACTGCATTATGGTTGTTGACATATCTAAAAGCAATAAAAAGGTTTATTTTCAAGTATTTGAAAAATAGAGTTCTATATTTTGTGCATTATTTTATCTTGTATCTAATCCAGATATGAATTTGGGGACTGTCCTTCAAATTAGGAGTCTAATTTTCTTGTGTTTCCAAAAGTGGAATGCTGAGATATAATGTTTCTTCATTTAGTTTGTGAATGTGGTAAAATTGGTGTTCAGCAGCCGGTCACAGAACAAATTACTCCGGGCAGCTTGTGTTTCGAAGATAAGAACCAATTATAGGGATTCTTGCGCAAGTTTCTTCCAATATCTTCTATCAGAAATGAAAGTGAATTGAATCTTTGATTTTCTGCCCCTAAAAAGGTCATGTTACCAAAGCATGTGACATCTTACGATCTATTGAGGAAAAGCAGAACAAACCAGGGATGGTGAGTTATCAGACCTTGTGTATTGTACAGCAATCCTACGAACGTACAGTCTAAGCTTCTGTGAGCTGGATTACTTTAGGTTAAGTGCTGTAATGAATTGTTTCAACAGCTTGTTTGGCCACAGCTTTGAGAGGGTATGCCATTTTCTAGCTTCACATTGAGCTGTTTATTTCCTACTATTTCTTTCCCTCCCCATCTTATGTATTTGCCGTCAAAGGAAGTAAGTATTTTTTGCAGCTGTTTCTGCTGATGAACAGCAACAACAACTTGCATTTATATAGCGCCCTTCACTCTGCACGGCATCTCGGAGTGCTTTAAACATCAAAAAATAAGGTTGGTTCACTACTCAGTGACAAGTACCTAAGTACTGTAAGGATACAATACAAAACTACATTTGTATAGCGCCTTTCACGTTGGGAAGACGTCCCAAGGCACTGGATACTGATGGGTACTGAGGCAGAAGAATGTTACGATCTCTTGTTTCTAAATGCACGAACAGAGTACCTGATCCGAGTGATCTTATTCAGAAGCAAATGTCCTTATCAATGGAACATAAAATGCTTCAGAATATTCACGTTCAGTCCTGTAACCTTTCACATGAGTAAAGTGATAGATTTGCTACAGTTCACAGAAAATGCTGAGGTATTGAAATTCCAGCAAAGTTGGTAAATGTACGTGGGTGAGGTCACCCAGTACGCTGGGGAAATCAGAAGAGACAGACAGTAAATTGTGCGGATTCTGGCTAAACGTTTGGAAGGGGGAGGAGTCCTGTGGAATTCCGCACGAGATACCTTTGATCACTAATGCTTTGATTGAAATAATCAATTGTTTTGAAGTTGTCAAATTCATCATTTAAATCTGTATTGGAATATAATCCTCACATTTTTGTATTTGATGGAATGATTCCAAGTGTGCCATTTTTCTATGTTTTTAATTTTTGGGGTTGGATTTACTGCAGTGGTGCCTTAAAATTCTGCTCAGTAAATTATTTTTGTTTCAATAGGTATCGGCACTGGTGACTATGTATAGCCATGAGGAAGATATTGATAGTGCCATCGACATCTTCTCCCAGGCCATCCAGTGGTACGAAAAACACGAGGTGAGTATCTTTGTGTACAGTGATATTTCAAACGAGCGTTAGCCTGGCTCAGTTGGTAGCACTCTCTCTGAGTCGGAAGGCTGTGGGTTCAAGATCTGTGTCACTACTTTGAGCTCATCATCTAAGACAACACTTTAGTATAGTTCTGGGTGGCGCTGCATTGTTAGAAGTGCTCTCCTTTGGATGAAATGTTAAACTGAGGTCTGCCTGTTCAGATGGATGTTAAAGACCCCACGGCACTATTCGAAAAAAGAAGGGAGTTTCTCTCGATGACCAGGCCAACAATCCCCCTAATAAGACGGACTTCTACTACAATGGCCACGCATTGCACCTAACGTTTATAAATCAGTGTCAATCGATCTCTGTCTAAAGAACTTTCTTATGTTGAAATGCCTGGAAGTTCTTCACAAGTAACTATTCTCAAATGTACAGACTGCTTTTGTAGGAAAACACGGCAACCATTTACACCAGGAAGATCCTAAAACAGCCATCAGTGAATGGGGTTCACTCCTCAGATCGTCTTTTGTCTCACACCTGGTATCTAACCCAAACTGCTTTTCTTCACCTACCCCATGTTAGAATTCTTGTGGAATAAATGCCAATTTGGCTACCTGGAACGAGTTGGTAATAGGTCCTTCCGCTCAGCAGGTTCCTTCAAGGAATATCTCAAGACCCTCCTCATTGTCCGCTCATTTGGTCAGCCTCCTACACCTACCCTCCATCCCTCCTTATCCCAACCCCCTGCTCGGGTCCAAACCTTTGGACATCCTCCCGACGTGAAAGGTGCTATACAAATGTAATTTGTTGTTGTTGTTTCCTACACTTTACATTAATTTTTCTTTAAACACAGGCTAATTCTCCAAGTCATTTGTTATTGGTAAGGGAAGCAGCTAACTTTAAGCTGAAATATGGGCGACAGAAAGAAGCAATCAGTGATTTAGAGCAGCTCTGGAGGTGAGTCTTGTTGAGATTTTATTTTGTTACTTTTGAACAGTTCAGATTACCTCAGTATTTCAGATTACAGTAAGATTTTCAGAGTGTAAATGAATCACCGAGTGGGCATAACAGTGGTTTTCAAACCAGGTGATTGGAAGATCATTTAATCTTCCTGCTAAAAGGGATAATTGTTCATATGTGATTTATTTGATTGTTTACTGGTGGGTCTCTCTCCTCCCACACTTTATGACTGTTCTTGGTACAGTAGTTGCTTCCTGATAAACTTTTCAAGACTTTCAACAACAACCTGCATTTATATAGCGCCCATCTTGTGGGGTAGCGTCCTGGAGTGCTTCATGGTGGCGGAGTCTGACCCCCAAGCCAGGGGGAGAGGGAGGGGGGAGGTGACCTTAAGCACGATCAAAAAGGAAGATCATCAGGCCAGATTTGAAGGTGGGGTAGGAGGGATCAAGACGGAGGGATTTAGGGAGAGAGGCACGGCTGCCGTTGGAGGAGCAGAGGGGCGAGGGACAAAGAGAGGCCGGAGCCAGCCAAGCAGAAGCAGCGAGTGGGGAGGACAGTAGGAGAGAAGTACTGAGTCGGAGTAACGAAGGGTGGGGAGTAGGAGTGGGGGCATTTTGGGGGGGGTGGCTCGGGTTCAGGGTGGCAGCCAAACGCGCACGCCGAGACTGGGAGCAGAGCGATCAGTGTCAGCCCTGGGGCATGGAGGGGGCTGGAGGAGACAGTGCAGGTGGTGTGTGGGGGTGGGGGGATGAGGAGAGTGGGCAGGGCACTCATAGTGTTTGTTACCATTTGCCCAACCTGGTAAATAATTCAGAGGATTATGAGAGACAGAGGAGAGAAGTGAGAGAGGACAGGAAGGAAAGGAGATAAATAAAATCGTTCATACATCAATCTTGCTTCTTTTTGACAACTAATACCAGTCGTGTCATTCCAGACAGAATCCTAAAGACATATGGACTTTGGCACAGCTCATCTCAGCATATTCATTGGTGGACCCAGAAAAGGCCAAGACGTATCTTTTTCGTACTGTAGAGAATTATTTTACAAAAAAAGTTTAGCCTTTTTAGGTGGAATTTTTATTGTTAAAAGCACATGATTTGCTGTTAAAGGTGAGAGGATGTTTTGGCAAATCTACATTTGTGTAATTCAGAAGATTATTGCTCTCAATCTTTTGGCACTTTAATTTCCTGAACATTTCCTGCACAGACTTAGCAAGCATCTACCTTCACCTGAGGCTATGTCTTTCAAAGTGGATGTTGATGCCTTAGAGAGTTCACATGGGGCAACGTACATAAGGAAAAAGGCTGCAAAGGTAGCAGGTGAAATCCAAGTGAAAGAACAGGGGTATGTAGATAGCTTAACTTTTGCATTTAATATGGGCAGAATATCTTTGCCCAATGTTTAAATCTAATCCTCTGTCCAGTAATTGCTCTTACATTAGAACCACACATATTGTTAAAACTGCTTTGTGTTGCCCAGATGAACAGCAAAGCTTGTCAGACTGCTTTCAATAGCAGGCTGTGCGGTTTGTAGCTGGTTAAACTCCATCCGTTCCCCTTTGCACACTCTGGGGTCCCCAAGCCTTGGTTCGTTCCAACCTGCGCCTAATACTCTCTGGTGTTATGTAAGCAGGGTGTGTTCCTCCAGCGAGAGAGCATTCCATTCCAACAAACAGGAATTGCCATGTGTGGGTGGGATGCATGGAACTCTGTTGGGTTTAGATACCCTTAAGCATGGTGGTGGATTTCCGTATGTGTCAGATACCTGACCAAAGGAAAATCAAACAGTGTGATGCATTGATTGAAGTTTCTGTTGCAACTGAGACTATATTGATTCCACAGTCCGAAAAATACAATTTGGTATTTCTGTGGAAACCTAGACATCCCCGAATTGTCCATAATATTCCAGTTTTTCTTGATATACGTGTACAAGTTTTCTCCTGTGACTTTTATCTGGAATCTGCTTCAAGTGTTCATGTTTCCCTTTTTCTTTTAAAGACAAGGAGATGTGAAGAAAAAGAAGAAGAAAAAGAAAGGTATTTTTTGAACATCCACCTCCCCTCTCAGAGATGGTGACAACTACTATGTTTTATTTAGTTTTCTTTCTTAATTGAGATTGTACTACTTTGATACGTGGAGTAAGTCATTGTTGTAATTCTGTACATTGACAAAACATTCTCTCAAATTATCTTTCTCGGGGTGTCCTGACCAGGAATCCCCCAAATAAAATTGGTCATTCCTTTCATGGCTGTTTGTGGGACATTGCTGTGCACAAATTGGCTGCCTAGTTCACTGCAAATACACAGTTACTACACTTTCCAGTATATCCTGTGAAGTGCTTTGATGTGGCCTCCTGACATGAAAGGCTCTACCAAATGCAAGGATAGGATCTCAGAAAGCACCAGAGGTCAAGACCAGGCAGAAATGTGAAAAGGAAAGACTAAAATGGGTTGTACTGTGTTTTTTCTTTCGTGCATACAATATACATTTTAAAATCTGCCAGCAGCAATTGCAATAAAATGGTAGAACTAGAGGCAATGGGGGTTAAGTGGTAATTAAATTATGATGTGGTAAAAATCACTTCAATGTGGACGCCTGTTAGAATAGTTAGAACACTCCCTCGCAAGCGAGAGGACTTTGGTTCGATTCCCGGGCAGGGCGAGACCTTAGGTAAGTTTCTTTACTCCACATGCCTGTTTTCCTGGCAGTAAATAGGAACCCGGTTGTCAGTTGATGGGTGGATCACTTTTCCGGGGGTAATAATCCCTCCCCCCCAAAATAAGGTTAAAAAAATAATTTGGTCACCTTAATCCATGACTGTTTGTGGGGACACTGCTGTCTGCAATTAGCTGCCGTGATTCGCCCACAAAATATACAGTCACTACACTTCACAGTATATTCAATGGGCTGCTGGGCATTTCATGGGCATGAATAACCCGGAAGTCAAACACAAGCTATTTGGGTCACACTTGAAATACTGCAAACATAAAAATGCTCCAGCTCTAGAGGCAAAGAGAAACAACAACTTGTGTTGGAGGGATAAGTAAGTGGCTATACTACTGTTATATTAGTACAGGTTTTATCTTAAATAATGAATAATAATCCTTGTATTTAATAATAGCCTTTCATGTCTGCCGGATGCCTCAAAGTGCTTCACAGAATATACTGTAAAGTGTAGTTCTTTGACAATTTATTATTTTGAAGGCAAATGTGGCAGCCAATTTGCCAACAAGTGAGTGACCAGGTGACTATATCATCACAAGACATATAGAAATACTCAACACAGGGAAGCAGAAGTTTGTTTAGAATTATCTACACTCAAAGGAGTCCTACCATTTCTGTGGAATAGACTAATTTGGCAGAAGAGGCAGAACAATGCACTCAATGTTTCTCAATCCTAAACCTGCCTGTGTAATTCGTCTCCTTATCTTTTATTATACAGGGAAACTACCCAAGAATTATGACCCCAAAGCGACTCCGGACCCGGAACGGTGGCTTCCTATTCGGGAGCGCTCGTATTATCGTGGAAGAAAGAAGGGAAAGAAGAAGGAGCAGATCGGGAAAGGAACACAGGGGGCAATGGCAGGGGGATCAGCCGAGCTGTAAGTGTTTGCAAAAATCAATGCCATTTTTTCCCAGTTTTAACTTATTTATAATGCTGCCAAATGCTGAAACAGTAAGTTAAAATGTTGATGAAAAGGAAAGGATTCTTTACTTTTTCTGCATTTTTCTCTCTCTCTTTCCCCCAGTTTTACTATATGTATATATTTTATCTGCTCTCTCTCTCGCTTTCTGTCTGTCTGTACATCTCAACTGTAAATATAAAACATTTTTTACAGCTGAAGAAGGGCTGTGTGGATGTGTAGATCACAAGACAAGAGGCACAAATTATGTCCTTAGCAACCTGGTGCGCAGGTGCTTAACTTCCCACAAGCAAGTAATGGGATTTTTTCTGCAGTGTCGTCCAGCTTCTTCATCAGTGGACGAGTGGACAATTGGCAGATATCTACTGCTCTGCTGTATGTGTGTATGCATGTGTGGGTATGTATGTTTGTGTGTGTGGGTGTGCGTGTATGTGTATATGCGTGTGTGTATGTGTGTATTATGTGCATGTGGGAAGTTGAGCACATGCACACCAGGTTTGTAATTTGTGCCTCTTAGTAACCTCGTGAGATCTGTACCTTCTCACATCCACACAAGTCTTTCACTTTAGCAGAGGTAAGTTTTTATATTTTTATTTACAGTTAAGATATATAGACAGACATATATATTTATACACACTCCAACCATACCTGTATATACAGAAATTACTGAAAGTACTGCATGGAGGAAAGGTTGAGACGTGTGCATCACCCACTGTGGCATAGGAATCGCAGACGGTCTCTCAAGGGGACAGATTCATCTGCCTCATCGCACAGGAAGTTGCGAGAAAACCAACTCTGATGGGCTAAAGCAGGCAGTGTTTTGTATGAGTGGAGAGGAACTGGCTGAAGCCTCAGAGAAGTTTCCTGATGCAGTCATTGAGCAGTTTCTTGGCCGATGTGCGGAGTTGAGTCAGACTGTGTGAATAGTATTTTCACAGAAGAAGTGGCTTAACCATAACTTCGTGATAAAAGCGGCAATCTGTATCCTGAGTGAGGTAGCTCAGTTTGGTGAGATCAGGCTGCTCATAACATTTCCTTCTGCTGCAGAAGGCCTTGTACAATTTAATGGTGTGTATTGCAGGATCTCCTGACAAGTGACATTCTATAGGTCATAATTATATATAGTTGTGCTGCACTGATGTATTCCCCCCACCCATGAATAGCTTACCAACACTGTCTATATTCACACTTAAGGGCAACTGATACAATACAAATCTATATTTATATGACGTCTTTCACACTTTGGTGCTGCAAAGTGGTTTGGTGCCCCAGCTGGAAGTAGGAGCCAAAGGGGTGGGGGAGGGGAAAAATAACCCAAAGAGCAATCAAAGAGGTAGGTCATGAGATGGACCTTGAACAGGGTGAGGGAGGGAGCAAGTTGGAAGGACTCCCCGCTGGTATTCTAGAGAGTGGGGGCATAGAGGCTGAAAGCTCGACAGCTTTCAGTGTGATGTTGTAACCTCTCCAAACCCCAAGTAGGTAAAATGTAGTGAAACATTTTCAGGAGGGAAGCAAAATGATTAGTGGCATTAAAATTGTCCTTACGGATTGGAATTTCCTCTATTTTAATTGTTCTAATTCGTAGTTTCTATTAAGTGTGAACTGGAGTCCTGTAGCTCAGTGGTTAGAGCACTCGCCTCACAAGCGAGAGGACCTGGGTTTGATTCCCGGCAGGGTGAAACGTTGGGCAAGTTTCCTTACTCCACACTCCTCTGTTTACCTAGCAGTAAATAGGAACCCGGTGGTTAGTTGATTGGGGGATCACTTTTCCGTTGGTAATAATAATTTGGTCACTCGCTCCACGACTGTGGGACACTGCTGGCTGCCACGTTTCGCCCACAAATATAGTCAATTCACTTTACAGTATATTCTGTGAAGCGCTTTGAGACGTCTAGAAGATGTCTTGAAAAGGCGCTGTATCAAATGCAAGGATTATTATTATTATCTGCCTCTATTACAGTGATGCCAGTAAGATGGCAAGCAGTCCACCCACCTCTCCCCGGCCTGGAACCACAGCCTCTGGAACTTCCAGCAACATTGTGCCACCGCGGCAGCAGAAACCTTCAGCGGCCTCCAAGAAAAAACAGCAACAGAAAAAGAAAAAGGGTGGGAAAGGTGGATGGTGATGGCAGATGATTATGGAATGCATCTGATGGATATGCATTGAGACCACATCGAATATTCAGTCTGTGAGCTCTTGTATCAGACAATGTATTCCTGTGAATAAACTGCTCAATGTAACTGCCATCTTTTGATTCTTTAATTTATACCATATGCGCGCACTGTCCTGGTGCGTCTGGAGCAGTCATCGTCGTTTCAACCACTACACCCCGAAGCTGTGGAACTCTCCCTCAATCCGTTCGCCTGCCCCCTCTCTCCCCATTTTCAGGTCCACTTGAACACCTTGCTCTTCGACTGTGTCTATAGTCACTTATCCCCCTGGCTCGGTATCGGGCTCTGCCATTGTTAAGCGCTCCTAGATGCCGTACAGCGTGAAGGGCACGATATAAACACAAGTTGCATTTTTCCTCATTTATGGCCACACTGGGTATCGTGGCTCAGTGTGGAGATACCTGGACTAGTGCAGGTGTTCAGCGGCCACTGCTTGATGTTCCAAGAAGTTGATTGCGATCGACTGGATTAACTAGGGGAGCCCGGGCTAGAGTCTCTCTTCGTATTGCTTTGTGGGGAGGGGCAAAACACAGCTTTGATAGGGTTTCATCTTTGTCACTAGTACGAGCTTCCCCAACAGTGTCGGAGCCCCTGCCAGGACTGATCTAGAGGTTCATCCTGAGAATCTTACCTGAGTTCAGAGGACCCATGAGGCCATCTTTTACATGGTTAGTTAGTGAGAGCTGCGGTAAATATGTAACCTCATGACTTGTGCAATACTGTGCAGTGACATAAATTAGTTTGTGGTTTAATGCTGGTATTTTGTACTTTGTTCCGATAGGAATCTATGGGGAAGTTGCGACAAGACGGTTGAAACAGGAACTATTGATTCCTTCAAACACAGAATAGATTTCTTTTAGGAAATAACATTATGGGATATAGTACATGGGTAGTTTGGGACATATGTACATGTGACCGCCAGGATGATGGAAGGTGAACCAGATGTTCTTTTTCTGTCTAGCCTTTCTTATGTTCTTATGTAGAATCCTCGAAATTGCATAGTTTATCAGAACTAGTTTTAGTTTGCAAGGTACATTGGCTTTACAATGAATTCTCATTTATTAGACCGTTCTATCGCATTTAAAAAAAATTGCATTTCACATTTCACATTTCACATTATTATGTTGTTGATAAGTCTCAAAGCGCTTCACAAAATATACTGTGAAGCCACCAAATCTTTGCCTCAGAGGTTAGAGTGCTACTAACTGAGCCAGGCTGAACGATGCATTACTATTCTCAAAATATAATAACATCCTTGCATTCGGTATAGCGCCTTATAACATTGAGATATCTAGAAACACTTCACAGGGTAAAGTTTTACAGTATAATAATAATCCTTGCATTGATATAGCGCTTTATCACGTATCTGAGACGTTTCAAAGTGCTTCAAACTGCTAGGAATTGAACCCAGGTCCACTTGCTTGCGAGGTGGTTGCTCTAACCACTAAGCTATTAAATGCTTTGAGACCAGCCTCAAGACAATCCTTTTCGACTGTGACTTTGGTCATCTTTCCTTCTCTATCCCCCTTGCCTCCCAACCCTCTCTGATCCCAATCCGTAACTCGTGTACAAACCATTCATTGTCCAGTGCCTTTGGACGTCCTCCCAGTATGCAAATAAAATTTATTGTTGTATATTTTGAGGGGAACAAATATATACAGAATAGATATGGGAGTCCTGTAGCTCAGTGGTTAGAACACTCACCTCGCAAGCGAGAGACTTGGGTTTCAATCCTTGGCAGGGAAAAACCTTGGGCAAGTTTCTTTACTCCAAATGCCTGATAATTCCCTCAAAAAAAAATTGGGGCGCAATTGGCTGCCGTGTTTTGCCCACAAATATACAGTCAATTCATTTTACAATATATTCTGTGAAGTGCTTTGAGACGTCTCGAAGACATGAAAAGCAGTATATCAAATGCAAGGATTATTATTATTAATCGAGAGGCCTTACTCAGGTCAATATGAGGTGTTCAAGCTGCATTGCCATGTAGACATCTACGTGTATCAACTTGGTGACAAAAACTTTCACGAATGTGATGAAAGACATCTGTAATAGCTCTGCACTATGTATAAATTTCTTAAAAAGAACATCATTAATAATTAAAAACAACAACTTGCATTTACACACCGCCCTACATGTTGGGTAGCTTCTCAGAGCACGTAATAGTGCCGGAGCCTAGTGCTGAGCCAGCGGGAAGTGACGGTAACATGGTCAAAAGGGGAGGTCTTCAGTCATGATCTAAAAAGGGGGAAGGAGGGGGCGAGGTGGATGCATTGGGCGAGAGAGTTCATAAGCTTCGAGAGGTAGTGACTGAAAGCACAGCCGCCGATGAAAGGGAAGTGAGGGAGTGAGGGACGAGCAGGAGGCCGGTCAGCCAAGTGGAGGCAGCGGGTAGTGGGTTGGGGTGTAAGCAGGTCGGAGAGGTAGGGAGGTGCCAAGGCATGAAGAGGTTTGTGGAGGAGCGAGAGGGTCTTGAAATCCATCCATTCAGTGATCCGGAGCCAGTGGGTCCTGGCGAGGACTGGTGTGATGCCGGGACAGAGTTTACTCTATGAGTCAGGATTTCCGATTCACCCTCTCACCAGTGAAGGCGAGCGACATCAAGGCAGAGGGTCACGCATACAACTTGTTTTGGTCAACCGGGCATCTGACACACGCAGGAACCCCTCACCGGGCTTCAGAGTATCCAAACCGAGCTGAGATTTCCGTGCGTCCCACCCACACACGGAACTCCCAGGGATAGATTGCCGGAGGGGAACCGCGCTCTCTCCCGGTTATCGACGGTCCCGATTATAACACGTCCCGATTATCCAATTCCAGAAAATATTAGACGCAGTTTGGCCAGAGCCGAGGCTTGGCGCATTGAGGGAGGGAGAGGGGGAGTAACGGAGGGAGGGAGGGACGGAGCGAGCGGGAGACGGAGTGAGTGAGGGAGGGAGGGAGTGGAGAGGAGAGGGAGAGGAGAGGAGAGGAGAGGGAGTGAGGGAGGGGGGGGGGGAGTGCGGGAGTGAGTGAGTGAGGAGGAGTGAGGGGGAGTCCGTACGGGAGTGAGTGAGGGGGGAGGGAGGAGGGGCTCTGTGTGACGGCTTTGCTCATCACAATAGCGCTGCTCTCACAGTGACTGAACTGAGGCTGTGAGTGAGTCACAGACACAGAGAGAGAGTGAGAGCGGTGCTCGGGGGTGGGGGTGTGGGGGGTATTGGGTGTGTGTGTGTGTGTGTGTTGTGGGGGGTAGTGGGGGGGTAGTGCGGGGGGGTGTGGGGTGTGGTGTTGGGGGGTGTGTGGGGGGTAGTGGGGGGTGTAGGTGTGTGGGGGTGTGGTGTGGGGTGTGTGGGGGTGTGGGGGCACATGGGCGGCGCTGAGCGGCAGTAGCGGGCGGGGCCGGGCGGGGCGGGCGGGGCCCGCGGGGCCGGGGATGGAGGCCGTGTCTCGGGCCGTGACTCGGGCCGCGCTGCTCGGGGTGTCGGCGGCGGTGGTCGGGGGTCTGATCTACACCGCGTGGACCGCACTGTGCAGAGGCGGAGAGTGTGTGGAGGAGCCGCGGGCCATCGGGCAGCAGGTACTGCCCTCACTGCCACTCACTGCCCCTCACTGCCACTCACTGCCCCTCACTGCCACTCACTGCCCCTCACTCCCTGCCACTCACTGCCACTCACTGCCCCTCACTGCCACTGCCACTCACAGCCACTGCCACTCACTGCCCCTCACTGCCCCTCACTCCCTGTCACTGCCCCTCACTGCCACTCACTGCCACTGCCACTCACAGCCACTGCCACTCACTGCCCCTCACTGCCCTCACTGCCACTCACTGCCCCTCACTGCCACTGCCACTCACAGCCACTGCCACTCACTGCCCCTCACTGCCCTCACTGCCACTCACTCCCTGTCACTGCCCTCACTGCCCCTCACTGCCACTCACTGCCCCTCACTCCCTGTCACTGCCCTCACTGCCCCTCACTCCCTGCCACTCACTGCCCCTCACTGCCCCTCACTGCCACTGCCACTCACAGTCACTGCCACTCACTGCCCCTCACTGCCCCTCACTCCCTGTCACTGCCCCTCACTGCCACTCACTGCCACTGCCACTCACAGCCACTGCCACTCACTGCCACTCACAGCCACTGCCACTCACTCCCTGCCCTGCTAGTGCCACTCACTCCCTGCCCAGCTAGTGCCACTCACTCCCTGCCCAGCTAGTGCCACTCACTCCCTGCCCTGCTAGTTGCCACTCACTCCCTGCCCCAGCTAAGTGCCACTCACTCCCTGCCCAGCTAGTGCCACTCACTCCCTGCCCAGCTAGTGCCACTCACTCCCTGCCCAGCTAGTGCCACTCACTCCCTGCCCAGCTAGTGCCACTCACTCCCTGCCCAGCTAGTGCCACTCACTCCCTGCCCAGCTAGTGCCACTCACTCCCTGCCCAGCTAGTGCCACTCACTCCCTGCCCAGCTAGTGCCACTCACTCCCTGCCCAGCTAGTGCCACTCACTCCCTGCCCAGCTAGTGCCACTCACTCCCTGCCCAGCTAGTGCCACTCACTCCCTGCCCAGCTAGTGCCACTCACTCCCTGCCCAGCTAGTGCCACTCACTCCCTGCCCAGCTAGTGCCACTCACTCCCTGCCCAGCTAGTGCCACTCACTCCCTGCCCAGCTAGTGCCACTCACTCCCTGCCCAGCTAGTGCCACTCACTCCCTGCCCAGCTAGTGCCACTCACTCCCTGCCCAGCTAGTGCCACTCACTCCCTGCCCAGCTAGTGACACTCACTCCCTGCCCTGCTAGTGCCACTCACTCCCTGCCCAGCTAGTGCCACTCACTCCCTGCCCAGCTAGTGCCACTCACTCCCTGCCCAGCTAGTGCCACTCACTCCCTGCCCAGCTAGTGCCACTCACTCCCTGCCCTGCTAGTGCCACTCACTCTATGGAAAATGCAAGTTTCTCATGACACTGACATTGAAAATCAACTTAAAATTTCCACCAGTTTAACTTTAAATATATATATATGTCAAGTGATTTTTTAAAATATTCAAATCTTCTCACTGCTGTGCAGGAGCTCTCTGTGAGTGTTGAAGAAACACTTAAAAATGCTATTTCCTAAGAATTTCATGTTTCCATAAATGCTAAATTATCATCTTTGTAGGAGCCGTCAGAATCTACTTTAACCTGTGTTTCCTCCCGGCACCGCTTGTATGCTTTGTGTTGCTTTGTGTTCTCAAATATCCCATTAGGAATATGTTCAGGGGAACATTTTGGGGATATTAAGTAAACAGGTGGTTTCTGTAACAGGGCCGATTGTACATAGAGTAGTAGTCTGCAGAAAGAAGAGTTTTTATAGACTTCACATAGTCTCTTCTATTATCTGTACATGTGTGTAAAGGACCATCTGGTTATTTCTCTGTGTAGCTTTCAGCAATGTGCGAACAAAGTTCAATGCTTTAAAACTCTGAATCCGTCTCACGCTGATCCCCAGTGTTAGAGGAATGAGCCTCGAGGAACGATGAGACAAGTTAGGGCTCTTGAAAGGAAACATCTCAGAGGGCTCTTATCGCAGTGTATGATTTTAAATAGGATTGGGAAAGTAAACACAGAACAATACTTTCGGACGCACCAAGACCCGTAGCAGAGTTAGTGCGCTCGTCTCACAAGAGAGAGACTTGGGTTTGATTCCCGGGCAGGGCGAAACGTTGGGGAAGTTTCCTTATTCCACACGCCTCGCTTTTTGCAGCGGGTAATAACCCCTTCAAAAAAAATTGAATGTGTGTGACACTGCTGTACACAATTGGCTGCCGTGTTTCGCCCACAAAATACACCGTCAATCCACTTTACAGTGTATTCTGCGAAGCGCTTTGAGACGTCTCAACATGATAAGGCGCGATATCAAATGCAAGGATTATTATTATTATTATAAGACAGTGGAACAAGAGGACCTAGATTTAGGGTAGCAAAGGGCAATTTCAGGACAGATTAATTTACAAGGTACTTAACCATTGACCCTGTTAATTAACCTGTCCCGAAATTGCCAAGAAAGGCAGTTGAAGGCAGGATACGAGAATAATTTTAAAAAAACTGCCTGATGCTGCGCTGGGAGAACAGCAGGATGGACTGAAGATGGGATCAAATGGGCCAAAAAGCTTCCTTCACCCGAAGCAATCTTGTGATTTGGATAAGACAAAACAGCCAGACCTGACACGAGCACCACACCCACATACCATTTCTCACAATACCCTGGGGGCACTGTTCATCTTCAGTTAGGCTGAGGGTCTGCACGTTTCGCACAGTTGTTTGCAGCCCAAAGAAAATCAGGAAATCGCTGTTGTGTGGATTTTTTTTCGTGCCCAGGCAAACTAATTTACCAGCTTTCTCTACAGAGAGATTATTGTGCTCACTTCCAGAACTCTGTGGCATCGTCAGGGGAATCAGAGACACCACTCATGCTATACTTGTGAAGTTGTCCATTTATAATTGCTATCATTTTTCCCCCTAACTTCATGCATTGCACCCCGTTTCATCCCTTATGGGTTAGTTAACTTGTTTTGAACAGAGACAAAAATGTTGAAAGATTTGCTCACTGCTGTGCGAGTCCTGTAGCTCAGTGGTTAGAGCACTCGCTTTGCAAGCGAGAGACCTGGGTTCAATTCCCAGCACAGGGTGAAACCTTGGGCAAGTTTCCTTACTCCACACGACTGATAATAATCCTTCAAGAAAAAAAACAATAATTAATTGGTCATTTCGATCTGCCGCATTTCGCCCACAAATATACAGTCAATTCATTTTACAGTCTATTCTCTGAAGCGTTTTGAGACATCTAGAAGACGTGAAAAGCGCTATATCAAAATGCAAGGATTATTAATATTACTATTAGTTTTGTCAGAAGCTGATCTTTTTATTTGGAAAAAAAGTTTATACTATGAGCCGGGCTAATTTAGTAGCACTCTCACATCTTGAGTCACGGTTGTGGGTTCAAGGCCCACATCTGGACTTGAAACTCATTGTAGTCTAAGCTGACATTCCAATATAGTACTGGAGGAGCCGCTCATTGTCAAGAGGTGTTGTCCTTTGGGTGACTTGTTAAAACAAGGTCCCATCTCTTGTTCGGGTGGACGTTACAGATCCCATAGTACTATATGAAAAGAGAAGGTGTCCTGGTGTCATGGTCACAATTTCCCAGATAAAATTGGTCAGTCACTTCATGGCTATTTGTGGGACATTGCTGCATTGCAAACTGGCTGCCGCAATTGCCTACCGGATGCACAGTCACTGAACTTTACAATAAATCCTGTGAAGAGCTTTGAGACATCCACCCAACATAAAAGTTGCTATATCAGATGCAAGGATTATTAATAACTTAAGCTTTCTATTAGGTCAGTACATTAATAGGCAATGATGCAGTAAGTACATAAATAGAGAGAGACATGAACAAACACACAGTTATAGAGAGAAAGAGAGAGTCAGATGAACCTACCGAGTAGAAAGCTGGAAGAGACCTCGTGAAGTTGAGTGACACATCCCTCAGCATGTTCAAACAGGGGAAGCCTCATGGAACAAGACAAAGAGAATGCTGGTCTATGTTACTCTATCAATTGAGTCCTATTGTAATAATGGGGATTATTCCCAAAGTGCAAAAGCCAAACGGGCTGCATGCAAGAGCCCCAGTATTAGAGGAATGGTCTGTGAAGAGATCGGTTTTCTAAATCAAATTGAAAAATAAACCCAGAACAATACTTGCAAATATTCCAATGCAGCAGAAGAAATCACCTGTTGAGTGTTGTGAAGGGTGCTCTTAGATTAAATACCAGGAATCTCTTTGTATGTCTTGTATGAGGGTAATTAATGACTGGAACTCGTTACCAAGAGTGGTTGAGACTAGGATGATGATCTCATACCAAAACAAAGTTTAATGTGCAATAAGAAGATGGAAGTGTAAAACCAATGAGATCATATAGGCTGAAGGCCTTTTACATCCTCACCTCTCTTGATCTTGTGAGAGAACAAATCAGAATGGGAGAGTCTGAGGGGAAGAGATAGCAAAACAGAGAGAGAGAGAGAGAGAGAGAGGGGAGAAAGAGGAATCCTAAGGAATACTACTGGACTGAAACTATCTTACTCATTCTATTACTACATGCAAACATATAACAATGTCTGGTTATCGCCAAACATTGTACTCTGCAACTTTAAACTAAAATCTCGCCTCTAAAGAATTTTTCACACTTTTTCTCTTGTTTTCCATTGCTTACACTCCCCGTCTCCCCTCTATACAGTATACTCCATAGGACTCCTCGTCCTCCCCCCTTACACTCTCTCTCTCTCTCTCTCCCTCATGCTTTTGCTATCTCTTCATTGTGTCAGGAGACCTGGGAATAAAAGAGAGAGAAGGACTGACAAAGTGTGTGCAACTACAGTTCATTAAAGCTCTTGATAAAGCTCCTGTTTTTGATGAGCACACGATTCTGCAACTTTTTTTAAAAAACGTTTTCACCTCTGAACAGATTGCAGACTGCAGTGCAGGTTTCTGCCTGCGGAGTTTGGTTAGGAATTAGGATTTCTATTTGATCTACCTGCTGAGGAACATTGCACATGCTGTCTCCACAAGTTCTATGTTGGTCCATAGTATGAGGAATGTAGTTTATTTTCTGACTGAGAATAGGGGCCAATGTGCAGCTCGCAGGTTTTAGGCAAAAATGTCAACAACAGCCTGTTCATATCTGTTTTATCCATTATATTATATTCACTTTCATCCTAGGCTTTTCTCATAGGATGAAATTGCTTAACAGACAAGGTAGGGTGCTTCAAGCAGGGAGAAAGAAGAGAACATTAAGGCTATTGACCAGAAGAGATACATTTATAAGACTTTGAAGATAGGGAGGCAGAAGGCTAAGAGATTTTAGGAGAATGTTTCAGAAGACAGGACCATAGTGGCTGAAGGCTTAGCCACCCAAGGTGGACATTGGGTGAGACCCAATACTCAGACATCCAAAGAGTCAGTGGGAATGAGTAGCATCAGAAGCCTGGAGCAGAATCAGTAGCCTGGAGGCTGTGAGCAAGAGAACAGAACTGGAAAAGATTGGATAGGGAGCCAGAGAGGTGTGAGTCCGTGAAGGTCAGGATAAGGATCTTGAAGTCAATCTGCTGGAGTCCTGGACATCCTCCCCACGTGAAAGGCGCTGTGTAAATGTAATTAGTTGTTGTGGTTGTAAAACAGATTCTTAATTCTGCTATGATTCTCGAAATATTTTACAAAGTATCAAATTAGTTTTTTTTGTTGATCTCAAATGATTTACATTTTCCTTTCTCTTAAAAGGAGGATCCGGATCCCGATCCCAAGGACAATGTTAAACAGATTCTGGTTCTGGGGCTGGATGGCTCAGGGAAGACCAGCGTATTGCACAGTTTATCCAATAACACAGCCAAAAGGAGTGATGGACCCACTAAAAAGTTTAACAGTGTCTGTGTTAAGATTGAAGAAGCTGAAATAGAATTCCTAGAGAGTAAGTCAGCAAGTTACTGCCTTTATAAATACTCAGTAACATGAGGATTAACTGAAGAAGATAGTGTGGCACATAAAGAGGTAACCAGTCAGTTACCAGGGTCCTCTTGTGAGTGGAGTAGTATTCAATGAATATAACTTATTGAGTCAATACCACTCTTATTTGTGATGTGCATTTGACTTTTGCTAGGGGCTATTATAACAATAATAATAATCCTTGCATTTGATATGACCGCTTATCGCATTGTTGAGATGCCTCAAAATCCTTTACACGCTTTTACTTTGAAGTGCAGTGACTGTATGTTTGTAGGCAAGCACAATATCTAATTTACACACAGCAATGTCTCAAAAACAGTCGTGAAATTAATGAATAATTTTATCTCGGGGATTGTTGGCCAGGACAATGGGAGAAACTTCCTTTTCTTTTGTGTTATGCCATGGGATCTTTAACATCCACCCGGACAGGCAGTTTCGCATTTCATCTGAAGGACGGCACCTCTGATAATGCAGCGCTACCCAAACACTGTGTTGGAGTGGCAGCCAAGACAAGGGGTTCAATGTCCTGACAACCTCCAGACGCAGAGGTGAGAGTGCTACCAGCTGAGCCAGGCTGACAAGTAAACAAACCTATGTGCAAAATGAAGTGTGGGTTTACCATATTTTAAACAACATGATGTATAATTGATTAGACAATTATATAAGATGTCAGCCTGGCTCAGTTGATAGCACTCGCACTTCTGGTTAGGAGGATTGTGAGTTCAAGCAGCAGGTCAGGACTAATTGTCTAGGCTGACACTCCCAAGACAGGATTGAGGGAGCGCTGAATTGCTAGAGGAGCTAACCTTCAGATCAGATATTAAACCGAGGTCCTGTCTTCCTGTCCAGGTTGATGTTAAAGATGTCATGGAACTATTTGGAAAGAGAAGTGAATTTCTCCTGGAGTCCTGGCCAACAATCCCCCAAATACAATTGATCATTTCTTCATATAGTTCTTTGTGATACAATGCTGTGTGCAGCTTTATTTCAAAGTTGGTAGAATATTGGGTGGCCTGTGAATACCGTCGCCACACTTTATAGAAATGTTGTGAAGCGCTTGGAGATGTTACAGGAGGTATACCAAATGCAACGATTTTTTATCATTAGCAATTTAATGCAATATCTGTAATGGTATCCTATTAATCTGATTGCTTCTCTTGCTGTCTGTGGGACTTCACTGTTCACAGATTGATGGTTGCCTTTGCTCACATGACAAAATTCATACATTAAACACATTTAAGATTTTCTTTGTTAAATACATTTGATGATAATTAATTATTTCCAGATCATTTTCCCTTTATTGACTGATGCACTTTGGATCAGTGCTCAAAATAGAGGTTATCCTGGTTTATATTTCTTCCTCATCCAAAACTAATTAAAAATTCAAATTAATTGGGAGCTATAGAACTGTAATATAGAATACAAAATGACATAGAATGATACTGCGAAACATGCCATTTGGCCTATCCAGTCTTTGCTGTCCTTTATACACCACATGAGCCCCTATCTCTTGTAACCCCCCCCCCTATTTTCTATTCTCTCATGTATTCTTCAAGTTTCCTCTTAAATACATTGCTCCACCCATAGCTTCCAGCAGTGAGTTCCACATTCTCACCACCCTCTGGGTGAAAGAGTTCCTCCTAAACTCCATATTAGATCTACTATTTAATATTTATGTCCTCTTGTTTGGGATCTCATTGTGATTTACAGGACGTTGCTTACACAGATGAGTAGCTAGAGTTTGGAATTGGGAGTTTGTTTTGCACATACCACACTTGATGTCTCTGTTTTTGTCTTGAAGTTGGTGGTGGTGAGCCTTTGCGCAAGAGTTGGCACAGCTATCTGTCAGATTCACAGGCATTGATTTATGTTGTGGATTCAGCCGACCACGAACGCATGCCTCTCGCTAAACAGGAGCTTCACCAACTGATCCAAGCAGACGCTACACTTCCTGTTGTTGTTTTGGCCAATAAGCAGGTAAACACTTTGGTAGTATTTATATCATTTATGAGCTAAATTCCAGAATCACTTGCTGTGGTTTGTGGGATACACTTGCAATTATATTACAGTACAATATATCCTTATATTGTGCCTTTCACATCAGAAGAACATCCCAGAGTGCTATTGATTCTGTTTTTTTTGGTTAGCTGGGTGTCTGACACAAGTAGAAACTAGCATCATGCTTAAAAATAATAATAATCCTTGCATTGATATAGCGCTTTTCACGTCTTCTCGCCAACCCAAAGCGCTTCACAGAATATACTGTAAAGTGAATTGACTGTATATTTGTGGGCGAACTCGGCAGCCAATTGTGCACAGCAGTGTCCCACAAACAGTCGAAGATTGAAAATGACCAATTTATTGTTTTTTTTCCAAATCAGGCATACAAATATGTGAGAGGCATACAAATATGTATGCCACTCACATATGGAAATTTCCCTGTTTGTGGAATGGAATGGATATTCGCTTCGCAGAGGGATGTACCCTATTTACCTAATTCTGGAGCATATTTTGGAGTCCTGTAGCTCAGTGGTTAGAGCACTCGCCTGGCAAGCAAGAGACCTGGGTTTGATTCTCGGCAGGGTGAAATGTTGAGCAAGTTTCCTTACTCCACACGCCTCTGTCTACCAAGCAATAAGTAAGAATCTGGTCATTAGTCGATTGGCGGATTGTTTTTCTGGGGGTAATAATTCCATCAAAAAAAAGTTGGTCACTCATTCCACGACTGTTTGAGGCTCACAAAATATACAGTCAATTCACTTTACAGCATATTCTGTGAAGCGCTTTGAGACTTCTAGAAGATGTGATAAGGTGCAATATCAAATGCAAAATTAGTATTATATTATTAACCGCAGGTTGGTGAGAGCCAAAGTTTGAGGATCACAGAGTGTGTATTGGGGTATTGCTGGAATTTAACCAGCTAAAACAACAAATAAGTTATTATTGAGAGCTGTGTCTGGCAGACTTCTGACTTGATTCTCACTGTCCGTTGCCAAGCATGTCACCTTTACATTATAAATTTACATTTATAAAGTGCCTTTCATGTCCCAGCTCAGCTCCAGGGAGACACCCCATCACTCCACGAAAGGATGTCAGTTTGAGTTTCTATGGCCGGTATATTTTTCGTCCTCTCAATAGGCCAGGAATGCTGATCACAAATGTAGCATCACAACTGGATGAGATCAACTAAATCAGCACAAATTGGATTGTATCAGGGTGTTACTGGTGGCTCTGACATTTCAGCTTTACATTGAGGTTACCTACCCCCTCCCTCTCCCCCTGGCTCGTTGTCAGACTCCACCACTGTGAAGTGCTCTGGGACCCTACCCCGCCTGAAGGATGCTATATAACTGCAAGTTATTGTAGTTGTTGTACACTGGACAGTGATTTCAGCCATCAGGTATTCATTGCACTTATACTTTCTCCTATCCATTTCTTTAAATTGACTTTTTTAAGAAAAAAATCCTAATGTTTTAAATTCGGATACATAATTGTTGTTTTGTCAACAATTAGGTGTCAAAACTGCAGCAAGTGATATCACCAGTGATAATTATCACATTGACCAAAACTGTGGTCAACAGCAGTCAATGAATCACCCTTCACCGAGGTCAGTGATAAATATTGACTGGGACTTCCACCTCATTTTCTGTTAATCGCTGTCCACATTAATCTCCCATATGAAACCCACCACCTACTCCCATGACCTCCCCTCCTTTTGCATCCAGCTGCTGACTATCCAATTACGCTGCCTTACTTGTGGACACAGTCAACCTTCCCTGAACTACCGTTATCAGTCCCTCTCAAAAAAAATCTCTTCCCTTCAACACTCTCCAGCATCTGTCTCACCTCCATCCTACCATTCCTGTGCAAAGTCCTGAAATGAGGGGCACTGGATCAATATTATTATCGCTGCTTAACCTTGCCCTGGATTTCACTCCATATTGAGCCCCTCCAGTTTGTTTCTTGTTCCGTTCAGCGGGCTCCGGTCTGCTCCATGTCTCCCGCCCGACCCGTCCTACCATCGGTGTCCGGGCATTCAGCCTCTCTGCCCCCACACTCTGGAACTCCATCCAATGGTCCCTTCGCCTCGCTTCCTCCCTTGCCTCCTTCAAGGCCGGTCTCAAAACCCTTCTCTTCAACCGTGCCTTTGGTCTCTCTCCCACCCCTCTGCCTTCCCTCACCCCACCCCTCCCCCATGCTCGGGCCCCGACACCTGACTGTTCAGCGCTTTGGGACGTCTTCCCGATGTGAAAGATGCTCTATAAGTATAATTTTGTTGTTGTTGTTCTGTCCATTTTTGCCCACAAATATACAGTCAATTCACTTTACAGTATATTCTGTGAAGCGCTTTGAGACGTCAAGAAGACGTGACAAGCGCTATATCAAATGCAAGGATTATAGCAAGAATCCAACCTTTGTTCAAGTTAAAAATAACATACTCGCATTATGTAGCAAGAGCAGCCTCTGTCTCCTTAATCAACACTGGAATCACTCTGTTCTCCTCTTCTCATCCACCACCATGGGACATTCCCCATCACATTCCAATCCTACTTGGTCCCATCACCTCTACTTTGTTTTTTCACTGGACTCTCACATTCGAACAGTCACCTGTGATGTATCTCAGGGCTCTATCCTCAGTCCCCTCCTTTACAATCCTCTACACGCTCCCCATGATTCCCACATGTATACAAATGACACTCAAATCTATTGCTGTTTCTACCCACTGATGTTCTAACCACCTGTCGGTGATGTCTGTATCACATACTGCAGTTTTGAACCCTTGAGTTTGATAAAAACTGAAGGGTTTGAGGATTGTATGATTAATGCTCTCAGTGGTCAGTTTGATAAACCTGATCTTAGCTGATATTTTAATTCCACTGTTATATCGTGATCCTGCAGTGGAAATGGATGAAATTATTACTGAGTGCTTAGTAAACCAAACTCATCAGTGTTGTATTAACTGCTGCATGGTTGCTTACTGCCTGAGAATATATCTGGTGTAAATGTGCACATCAATGGGCTGATGTGCTTGTTGTTATATGAGCTGAGAGTTACCTCATAGGGTATTTTGGAATGTTGCCCTGAGGTGTGGGGGTGGTTTGGGGGATAGAGGAGGAGTCCCCTCAACTGATGACTATCCAGTGATACTGGCAGGAAACTGTGTTCGTTATTAAAGAGAATATTGAATTACAACAAAATTACATTTGGATGTGCTACCCTGCATGAGGGGTGCAAGTTGTTGTTGTTGTTGCCCATGGAACACAATGGTCCAAAAGGTCAGTGCCTTCATGAAGGGAGAGAATTAATAAAACAAGAACTCTTTCACATCACCAGCAAAAAAAACAGTGGGATTAAACTGATAAATGAGCTAGTATGCCATGCTTATATTGTGTAACAATTTTTCCACCCCCCCCCCCCGGTCACTTGCGGTGCACCCCAAGACTCCACCCTCACCCCCTTCTTTTCCTTATTTACATGCTCCCTCTCGGCGATGTTATCGGCAGACATGGGGTCAACTTACACATGTATCCAGATGCCTCCCAAGTCTATTTCTCCTCCTCCAGTTGCGACTCACAATCCGCTGATGTCTTGTCAGCTTGTTTGACGGCCATCAAGGCCTGGATGAGCGCAAATTTCCTGCAGCTGAATGTCGGCAAGACGGAAGCCATACTCTTTGGCTCCGATCAACATCTTCTCTCCTGCAGGTCTGAACTCCTCAACCTCCCTGGGTTCTACCTCAGACTCTCTGAACCCGTGCGCAACTTAAGCGTCAGGTTCGATCCCCAGCTTTCCTCTCTACCCCACATCCGTTCCCTCACCAGCAATTTTTCTGTGTTTCCCTTTCAGGAACATAGCATTGAGGGGTTATGGATGGAGCGGGTGGGCCAGATGAAATAGAGTGAGGTGGGTGGGGGGGCGGATGAAATTGGCCCCAGGGGCACCCGTCGGACCAACCTGAAAGGATAAATTGCTTATCTTTAAGTTGCTAACATTGGTTATTGTACTATCTTTCAGGACCTCGAAGGGGCGTACAGCATTTTAGAAATCCATGAGCAGCTTTCCTTGTCTGAGCTCGGTGATGAGAGGAAGCTTTTCCTCATTGGAACCCACGTGGCCGAGGATGGGTCACCAATACCAACGAGTGTCCAAGATGCTAAGGAACTCATCGCCCAGCTGGTGCTAAACTGATGATTGAGCTTGTAACCCCTGTTCTGATTCTGCTTTTACTAATTACCTGTTGGTCATGTTTTCATAAGCAACATTTTTTAAAAAGCAAAGCTCATTGCAAATCTCTGTTCTTTTTTGTGCGATGGAGAAACTGATTTTTTCCCCCTCCCATTTAAGGAACGAGTTGTAAAAACACATCTGGGCTTAATATATAGCCAGGAATGTTTTTGCATAGTGGAGGTATGTTTTGCACTTTATTGCACATCATCGGATTGTTGAGAAAGCTGTCCAAAGTTGTTGTAATAAACACTGTAATAAACTATAGCAGTTTTTGATAGTTATTGTAAACCTCTCCTGATTCAATTTGTCTTCCTAACGGATTGATCACATACTTCCAATGCAGTAAATAATACAGTAGGAATCTTCCATTGATTGAATTTTTATTGCTTCAAACATTTCTGCATTGATTTGGGTGAAACAGGGAACAATTATACCCATATAAATTGTAACTGTAATACTGGTCTTGTTTTTTTTAATGAATTTTGCTTAATTTAAAGAAGTACTCCCATTGTTCAGGTAACACAGTCCCTTGATCCCTTCACAGCATTGATAGCCGAGCCTTCATCTAATTATGGCTCTAATCTTTGGAACTCATATCCTTAATCCCTCTTACTCACCCCCGTTTTTAATTCATTTTTAAATCACACCTGAAAGCCTCACTCCGACCACGCCAACAATCACTTCCCCTTGTCCCTCGTCCACTCCCCATCTCTGTACAGTATTCTTGAGACCTTATCCTAAGTGAAGGGTGCTACATAAATACAAGTTGTTTGCTGTTGAAATCAGAAATTATAGAGATTTGGACTTGCTACCTGATCAGGTAGATGTTGAGAATCGAAGCCACTGTATGGACAGAGTAAAGTGCATCTTCTGGTATCCTGGCCATCGAATATCCAGTAAAATTGGTCATTCAACTCTTCGAAATCTTTCAATTTCAGGTGCTATATCAGATTCAAAGATTATTATTGCCCCACTGTCATTGGTTTGTCTTGAAGAACAGGGTCTGGTTTGTATCTGGTTTGTCTTGAAGAACAGGAAGCCCAGAATTAGCACCAGAAATCTGCAGCTCCTGCTGAAGAGGAAGACTCAACCTTTTTTTTCCTCAGCCGGGTATCTGACACATGCGGAAACCCATCACCAGGTTTAAGAAACCAAACTGAGATTTCCATGCATCCCATCTACACATGGAAATCCCAGAGCTAGATGGTTGGAATAGAGTGAACACTCTCTCCCTGGAGGGACACATCCTGCTTACCTAATTCTGGAAAATATTAGCTGGAAGTCTAACAGCTAAAACTGCACATTGATATTGCTGTCCAGCAAGCTTTCTTGCTGCTTGTCCAGCTCGGACTATACTCATTAGAGCTTTGGCACGCAGGGTTACTGGGAACTGAGTGGGATGACTCCCTGTCCCCAGTGACTGGTTTGCCATTCCAGGACCTGCTGATGAGCCAGCTGTGCTGCCATCAGCAATGCCCTGGAATACTGAGGATCCGCCTGGCCTCAGGAACTGGACTAGATACCACCTCAGAGGCCTGGCTCGATTCCGACATTCCATTGCCAGGCATGTCACTTTGGAGCCAGTTCAGTTTACCCGAAGGAGGGTACTCGTTCGTCATCTGACAAGGGTGGTTTTCAGCTTCACGAGGTAGACAGTAGGTACCAGGAATGCCCTGTGAGCTTCCCAGGGCAACACAGCTTGGCATGAAATATGTGAGAGCATCGCCACCATCTTCCTGCCCTCAGCTCGGGCCATGTCCCTTCCCATTGAGAGATGGTCCCACCAGTTGGAGATGAGGAGTTTAGCAGCAGCTGCCGGTCTCTCTGCAGCCAATCAGGTGGGTTCCAGGCGCTGGGCATATGAATGTGTCTCACAAACTGGGATCCAGGTAACACCTTCCAGCAGCTGTCGCCCCAAGCCTCAGAGTTTCCTCCTCAGCTGTCTGTGGTCGGAGGACCTTTACAGGACAGTTTGTGAAGCGCCAGCCACCTTCATGTTCTCAAGGTCCAAGTCCAATGCTGTGTGGAGGAGAAGTGTATGTGTGTGTGTGTGTGGGGAGAGATGTGTAACACTAACATTAAGAGGAGAGAAGTGATTGGGTAGAAATTCCTGCCTTGGGGCTAAATTTGCTCTTGTAACACAGAAATTCTGAGTGCTCACAATTTGTCAAATTCTCAATCCCGGGCTTTAATTTTGAAGCTGGGTTTCCAGCGGTTTGGGACATCCTCCTGACGTGAAAGGCACTTGACAAATGTAATTTGTTCTTGTTGTTGCTATAAGTTATTTTAAAAACGAAAGAAAACGGGCTTCAAAGTTGCAACTAAATTGAATAATTTGCCAAATTCTGCACTCTGAAAGAATAATAATAATCCTTGCATTTGAAATAGCGCCTTATCACATTTTTGAGACATCTCAAAGTGTATCACAGGATATATAAAGTGGATTGACTGTGTATTTGTGGGCGAAAAACAGCAGTCAATTGTGCACAGCAGTGTCCCACAAACAGTTGTGGATTGAGTGACCAAATTATTTTTTGGGGAGAGGGATTATTACCCCCGGAAAGTGATCTGCCAATCACATTACAACCGGGATCCTAATTAATGATGGGTAAACATAGGTGTGCGGAATAAGGAAACTTGTAAAGCAAATTCGGGTGAAACTCCTGCACAATATCATCAATGCTGAGTGTTCCCCACTCGCGGCTCCTGTGTGACCCACTGTGTTTGTCAGGAAAGAACCCAAACCTTGACAGCGGTGGAGCTGTCACATTGCTGCTCTGCTCCTGTTGCTGCTGAGGGGAGAACGCTTTGTTTTCCCGCGAGTGGTGAGGACATTCCCTCCTGTGTGGTCACTGTATCAGTCAGGATTGTGTCTGTTCACTCTGTTGGTACCAGATAATAACCAGTGATAATGGCTCCTGTTTCTCCCTTATTCAACAGACACAGTCAGTGACACCGGGACAGGTACGTACAGATGTGAGGCAGCTGCTGAATACACTGCCGGATATTGTGAATGAATCACTTGTTGTCACATGGCTCTGTCTGATTGGCTTTTTATCTCATTAACAGGAAAGGGAACAAAGTTGTTCTGGAAAAGATAATTGAAACTTTTGAAAACTATTTCCCGGTCTGGAGAGAATGGATGAGAGGACACGTGAGAGGATTGCGAGAGATCGCAGATGACATCGTCAATTATCCTAAACAAGACCCCACAGTGAATATTACTGTGTGTGGTAGAGTGCAACTCTCCATTACAGCAATAATCATTGCCCCTTTCTCACTGAGCACGAGGTTGGTGCTTGTGGCCCTGGGAGGCAGGAAGGGTGTAGCTGGGGATGGTGTGACTAGACACGTGGGTGTTACACAGACAGACAAACTGAAAAGAGTTCATAGAATCATAGAACGATATAAAAAGGTCAGCAGAGAAATGTCAGGTCTATTGATGAAGCTCCACAGTGTGAACCTGTTCTTTAATGATGAAATATTAAGAGAAGGTTTATCGAGTCCTGTCAAGACTCTGTAATGTCTATTCTGGAGCAGACAATTTCCCGCCCTTTAACTGCCTTAACAAGTCAGGAATTGCTAAGCAGATATGAGAAACAGCTGATACGATGGAGGATGAGATACGAGCATGTGAAGAGGTTTATAAATGTTTTCAAAAGAAAAAATAAATCAATATAATAATCCTTGATTTGATATGAATGATTTCAATAAATCAATCAATGTGCAGCAGTCTGGCTACTAATTTGCATGAGTGTCTGTGGGACAAGGAGATTAAACCAGCCAGGCTTCCTGCTGCAGAAAGCTGACATTACTGATAACAATATAATATAAATACAATAATAATATAATAATAACAGGGTTAGGCTGACACTCACTGTCACAAGTGCAATACAATATCATTTTACATTTATACAGCATCTTTCACTATGGGAGGATGTTCTAACGCTCTTATCTGAGACCTGAGCTCAATTCCAGGCAGAGGGCAAAACCTTGGGCAAGTTTCCTTACTCCACACGTCTGATAATAATCCCTCCAAAACCAAAAACAATAATAAAATTGGTCATTTTCAATCTACGACTGTTTGTGGGACATTGCTGTGTGCAATTGGCTGCCGCGTTCGCCCACAAATATACAGTCAATTCACTTTACAGTGTGTTCTGTGAAGCGCTTTGGGACGTCCTCCTGACGTGAAAAGCGCTATATCAAATGCAAGGATTATTATTATTATTATTATCTGAGTTCTGAACCGCAGCAAAGATGTTGATGGGAGCCAACTGGTATGGCTTCAGTCTTGCTGATGTTCAGCTGCAGGAAATTTGCGCTCATCCAGGCCTAGATGTCCCTCAGTCAAGCTGACAGGACACCAGCAGACTGGGAGACGCAGCTGGAGGGGAAGTAGGTTTGGATACACGTGGAAGTTGACCCCATGTCTGCAGCTGACATTGCTGAGAGGGAGCATGTAAATAATGAAAAGAAGGGGGCCAAGGATGGAGCCTTGGGGTACCAACAGGTGATCGAGCGGGGGCAGGAAAACCCATTTCCTGAGATAAATTGTTGGCGGTTAGTCAAGTGCCATGCTAGTGTGGTCCCACCAAGGTGGATGAGGGAGGAGTGGAGGTGGAAGAGGATAGCATGATCGTCTGTGTCAAACGGGGCGAAAAGTTCAAGGAGAATAAGGCGGCAGAGGGAGCCCTTGTCACAGAGAGAGAGGATGTCATTTTTCACTTTGACAAGCGCTGACTCTGTGCTTTGGGTTGGGTGAAAACTGGACTGGAGCCGTTGGAGAAGGGAATGGAGGGAGAGGTGTGAGCAAAGTTAATTGGCAACCACACGTTCCAAAATTTTGGCCAGCAACAACAACAACTTGCGTGTATAGCGCCCTCCACGCAGGGAGCGTCTCAGAGCCCTGAGAGGGGAGGTGACCGTAAGCATGGTTTAAAAGGAAAGATTCCAGGCAGGACTTGAAAGAGGGGAGATGGGGCAAGGTGGACGGATCGAGAGAGTGTGTTCCAGAGTTTTAGGGCAAAATGGCTGAAAGCATGACCTCTGATGGTGATGGATTGGGCAGTGAGAAGGTTGGAGAGGGAGGAAAGTGCCAGGGAATGAAGGGATTTGAACACGAGAGGGAAGATCTTGAAGTCGATCCATTCGGTGATGAGGAGCCAGTGGAGCCTGGGCCAGAAATGGTGAGATGTGGGTACGGAGTTTGGTCCGGGTCAGTATGTGATTGTTTTGAGTAATCCAAGTGGGAGGTGACAAACGCTTGCACAAGGGTTTCGGATGCATTTGGTGTAAGGTATGGTCAGAGGAGGGCAATGTGGCAGAGGTGGAAGAAGGCGGTCCTGGTCAGGGACCGGATTTCGGGATGGAAAGGCAGCTGGGGATTGAACTGGACGATCCCTAAATTATGTACTGTTTCGGTGAATCTGAGGGAGATCCCAGGGAGTTTGAGGAGTTTAGACCCACAGGAATGAAGACGTTGATGGAAGCCAAGGAGTATGACGTCTGTCTTGTCCAAGAAGTATGACTTCTGTCTTGTCAGCTGCAGGAAGTTTGCACTTATCTAGGCCTTGATGTCTGCCAGACAAGCTGATAGAACATCAGTGGACCTGGAGTTGGTACTGGAGGAGGCAAAGTAGATTTGTGTGTCATCCGCATACAGGTGGAAGTTTACCCCGTGTCTATGGATGACATCGCCCAGAGGAAGCATATAGATAAGGAAAAGAAAAGGGACAACGATGGAGCCCTGGGGTACCCCACAGGTGACTGGTGGTGGCACGAGGAGGAAACATTTGCTGAGATGAAATGTAGGCAGTTAGTTAAATAGGACTCGAACCATGCGAGTGTGGTCCCACTAAGGTAGATGAGGGAGGAGAGCTGATGGGAGGAGGATGGTGTGGTCGAATGTGGCGATTGCGGCAGAGATGAGCTGTGGGCTGAGTGAAAACTGGACTGGAGGGGTTCAAGTAGGGAGTGGAGGGAGAGGTGTGAGTGAAGTTGATTGCTAACCGCGTGTTCCAAAATTTTGGCCAGCAAGGGCAGGTTTGAGACAGGTCTGAAATTTGTCAGGTTGGAGGGATCAAGGAAGGGTTTTTTTAAGGAGAGGACTCATGCCAGGTTTGAGATGGGTCTGAGGTTGGAGGGATCGAGGGAGAGCAGTAATGCCAGCGGATTTGAGGTGGGGAGTCTATCCAGCACGGCAATAGAATAATCAGCCTGGACATGATGAAGGAGGACATGACAGTGTCAAAGCGGTAGAAAGGACAAGGAAAGACATATCTGGTTGCAAATGGAGAGAATGTTGTTGGTAACCTTAACCAGGGCAGACCCATCTGGATTGGAGGGGCTGAAGGAAGGAGGGATTGGAAAGGAAGGAGTGAAGCTGTGAGGGAACAATTCAATCCAACACCTTGGAGAGCTGAAAGTCAGTGAATAATAATAAGGGTTTTGAGAGAGAGATTGGAAGGATGTTAGAAAGTGAGGTGCTCACGGCAGAAAGAAAATTAAGGGATGGACTTATTTGGGACGTGGACACAAGTCCTACATGACCATCACTGCTGGTCGGGATGGGGCAGTGGGAGGAAATGTTGGTGTAGCCTCGATGAGAGGAAATGGTTGCAAAAATACTCAAAAGTGAAATTGAAAGAAAGTTGCGTTGCAAATTTGCCTATAACGTATTGCAGCTTAGGTTGAATTCCTCCAGTGTATTCAGCTGGTCAGCTACACAGGTCACCCAGGCTACCAGGTAAATGGGTTTTGCTTAACTATCAATGTTAACAATTTGTACTGTCTCAGGCACCTAATGCTGTAACCAGGAGTAACGGTTACTGATGTTGAGGAACAGAGAGATCGTAAGGAATAGATATGTAGATTAAAGTTCTAAAAGAGAATAAAAAAACAAATGAAGTTCTGAGGTTTATAACTATGGATATTGATATCAGTTAGAATAGTGTGTGTTTTATCACAGCCACAGAGAGGCTTTGGACGGCATCGATTCTCAAAGGAAATGAATATTAGAGTGGAGCCTTGTGTGGAGTATAAACACGAGGCTATGGGCTGAATGGCCAGTGCCTGTGCTGTAACACCCCCATGTAATTCTATGAGGAGCCGTGCTTTCAGGAGAGGCTCAACAAATTGGGGTTATTTTTTCTCTGTGCTGTGGGCTGGGCGAAAACCAGACTGGAGGGTTTCGAGTAGGGAGTGGAGGGAGATGTGTGATTGGAGTTGATTGGCAACCATGCACTCCAAAAATTGGCCAGGAAGGGCAGGTTTGAGACGGGTCTGAGGTTGGAAGGATCGAGGGTGAGGAGTAACCCCAGCAGTTTTGAGGGGCAGTGAGACAGAGCCTAAGGAGAGGACTGGTTGATTGTGTCAGCCAGCAGTGGGGCAGAGGAGGGGATATTGTTTGATCAGAAGCTGGGCGTGGAAGGTCAAGGCAGCAGGTGGTGGGTTTCATTTTGATGATGGTAGGGGAAAGGGAGGCAGGAGAGATGAGGTAAATGAGAGTAGTGTGTGTGCCATGGTAGGAGGAGAGGGTGGTGAGGAGGAGAAGGCAACCAGTTGGATGTTGCAAGTTTTGGTGAACAAAAATGTCCAGGACCTCTTTGCACTTGGCATCTGAGGTAAGGATTGGAGTAGCTTCAGAGGAATGTGGAGGAGGGAGTGGGTCGTGGAGAAAAGTACTTTTGGGTTGTGTTGACCTTGAGGCCAGTACCCGCTGAGCGAAGGGAGCAGCTGGGTCAGGAGGCTTGAAGGAAGCCTTCAAGGTAGCTGGTGTGAGACCGTAAAGGGATTGAAAAATAAGAACAAGGATCTTGGAGACTGGTACCTATACTGTAGGTAGGAAAGATGGGGAGTCTAACAAGCATGGCAATGGAATAATCAGCCTGGACATGATGAAGGAGAACATGAGTGTTAAGGCGGCAGAGAGGACAAGGAAAACAAGGAGGCAAAGACATCTCTGGTTGCAAATGGAGAGAATGTTGTTGTTAACCTTTACCAGGGCAGTCTCAGAAACTGGATTGGAGAATGGGGGTGAGCAGGTCAAAGAGGTCGGGAGGTGCTAGAGTATGAAGCGAGGGCGTAGCTGACATACAGAGGCATTCTGAGCAGCAGATGATGGGAGGGGAGGGGAAACATCCAGGGGAAATGTGCTGAGCTGAGTGGTGGGGGGGTAGAGCAGTGGATAATAATAAGGATTTTGGGAGAGAGATTAGAAGCATGTTACAAAGCAAAAAGATAATTAAGGGATGGATTAATTTGGGATGTGGATACAAGTCCCATGCGACCATCACTGCTGGTTGGGGATGGGGGGATGTGGGTGGGGTGGGAATGTTGGTGTTGCCTCGGTGAGAGGGAATGGTTATAGAGGCCATGAATTAGTCTGTTCCTTAATCAACACCTGAGCGGTATTGTTAGATTAAAATGAGATCATTTCATATGCTAATTGGTTACAAAACACTCAAAGTAAAAGAAAGTTGTGTTGTAAATTTGCCCAGAACTTATTGCAGCTCATGAAGAATTCCTCCAATGTATTCAGGCGATCAGTCACACAGGTCACCCAGTCTAATAGGTAAATGGGTTGTTTGTTGCAACTATCAATGTTAACAATTTGTACTGTCCCTGGCAACTGGTGCTGTAACCAGGAGTAACGTTTTCTGACTATAAAGTAGGAAGTGCTAACTTTAGTTAAGCTGTCGTTAGATCATATCCAGAGAGGCTATGGACGACATTGATTCTCAACTGGAATGAATACCAGTGGAGTGGAGGCTTGTGTGGAGTATAAACACCAGACTATGGGCTGAATGGCCAGTGTCTGTGCTGCAATACTCTATGTAATTCTATGAGGAGCCGTGGTTTCAAGAGACGCTCAACAAATCGGGTTTGATTTTGCTGAAAGAGAAGAGATAAAATAGAGGATTTAACATTCTGAAACAGGTTGTGAGGTTAAACAGTGGCAGATTATTGCTGGTCAGTGCACAGCGACAAATGTGTTGTGGGGTTGAGGCTTGTGTTTTGTTACTGTCATGGATTTAGGGTTTGGTTACAGATTATCAAAGTCTCTCAGAAACCATTTTACATTTTAAACAAAGAACTCCCTCCAGCTGTCTCTAAAATGACTGCTCTTCAGCTGTGCAGGATGTGCTGACTTCCTGTGGTGGTCAACCAGACTGCTCCACCCAGACGATAGAAAACCCGGACCAGACAACGAGTACAGTTTTGGATGAATTGAAAGTTATGGGTATTGGAGTGATGAAGACCAGCAAAAAGAGCATTAGAAGAATCCAATACTCTTGGATTCTCTTGGATACTTGAATACATGTACCCTCAAACCAACTGAGAGTTCCATGCATACCACCTACACTTGAAAATTCCCATGAATTGGAATGGAATACGTACTCTGTCCCTGGAGGGACATATTCTGCTTATTTAATTCTGGAAAGTATTAGGGACAGGGAGCAAGGCGTAGGCTTGGGGACTCCAGAGTGGAGTAGTTGCTGGAGCCATTGACAGCACTGCCTGGTAAGCTTTCCTTCTGCTTGTCCATCTAGGACCTCCTTACCCATTCAGGCTTTGGCTTGCAAGGATAACAGGTGTTGAGTGGAATGACTACCTGCCCCCAGTGTCTAATCGGCCATTCCAGGTCCTGCCGATGAGCCAGGCTGTGCTGTGCTGTCATCACCAGTGCTCTGGAGAACTGCAGACCTGCCTCGCTCAGGAACTGGACCAGAGACCGTTACACTGACTCGATTCTGCATTCTGTTACCAAACATCTAACCTCGGAGACCGTTCAGATTCAAGTAGACCAAGGCCACCCACCTACTCCTCCAAGAGGATAGTCATCCTTCCACGAGGATAGTTGGCCTTTTGACACCCGACAAGCATGGGTTTGAGCCTCACTAGGGGGGTGGCAGGTACCAGGATCTCCCTGCAAGCTTCCTGGAGGGCAACATAGCTCAGCATGAAATGTGTGAGAGCATTGCCACCATCTTCCTGCCCACAGTTCAGGCCACGTCCCTTCCCATTGAGTGATAGTTCCACCAGTTGGAGTTGTGGAGTTTAAGCAGCAGCTGTTTACCTCTCTGCAGGCCAGTCAAAATGGATTCCAGGTACTGGATTTACAAACGTGTATGTCAGGAAATTGGATTCCAGATAACGCCTTTCAGCAGCTGTCACTCCAAGCCTCACAGTTTCCTCATCAGCTATCTGGCAGGCATCTGCCTTCAGTGTGGTGGGAGAACCTTTACAGGACAACTGGTTGAATTGCTAGCCACCTTCATGTTCTCGAGATCCAAGTCCAATGCTATGTATTAGATGTCCAAACACTAGATGCTTAATCCAGTTCCTCAGTTGAGGGGCCTTGGCAAATAGACATGCCTTGTTGTAAAGCTGCCTCCACCTCCAGGCTGATTAGTGACAGGTCAGTGTCGACCACAATGTTTGCCACAAATTTCATGTTTGCACAAATCCACCTCACTGCTTGACCTGGACTTCACAATTGGACCAGAGGAAACATCTCCACTGTATCCGCAGGAGCTCAGATATATAAAGAGGAATTGTTCACACACAGATCTTATTTGCTGCAAGATTGGTCATGCAGGTGCAGCACAAAATGTCCCCAGGTGAGTCCGACAGCAGCACAATATCATCGCAAACAGAAGCCCAAAATCCTGTCAGAGAGGCCTGGAGCAGATACATCAAATCCTTCCTCCTCGATGCCATCCAACACATCGTTGATGAACAACATCGAACAGGATGGGTGACAATGGGCAGCCTTGCCTTAAACCCTTTCCAGAGGGATGGGTTCTGCAAGTCCACTGTCAAACCTGACTTGAATGTTGGAGCTGGAATAGACATTCTGGATAAAGTAGAAGATTTGGCATTAGGATATCAGGGCCTTGGAAGGGGTACAGGGGAGATTTACCAGAATGGTACCAGGGATGAGGGACTTTAATTATGTGGAGAGACAAGCGAAGCTGGGATTGTTCTCCTTAGAGCAGAGAATAATAAGAGGAGATTTAATAGTAGTGTTCAAATTTATAAGGGGTTTTTGATAGTGTAGATAGTGTAACATTTAACATTTAATCATTTTATAATAATAATAATCATTTCATTTGACAGCAGTGGTCCAGCGCTTTTCACGTCGGGAGGACGTCCCAAAGCACTTCACAGAACACACTGTAAAGTGAATTGACTGTATATTTGTGGGCGAACGTGGCAGCCAATTGCGCACAGCAATGTCCCACAAACAGTCATAGATTGAAAATGACCAATTTATTATTGTTTTTGGTTTTGGAGGGATTATTATTAGGCTCTGTGTGGAGTAAGGAAACTTGCCCAAAGTTTCGCCTGGAATTGAACTCAGGTCTCTCGCTTGCAAAGCGAGTGCTCTAACCACTGAGCTACAGGACTCCATTTAATTTTAATTTTTGACAAATGTGGGTTTGAGCTCTTTGAGTGGGTGATAGGAACCAGGAACGTCTTGCAAACTTCTTGGTAGGCAACACAGCTCAGATACATACACATTAAACATTACAAATTGTTTTAAAAACTAAGTATAGGATGTGAATGATATCATGATCAGAATGACTGTGGTTAGTGTCACTGATGATCAGGTGAGATTGGATTCACATTGGTTTCTTCATTTCCAAAGATTGTTCAGAAACATCATTGACAACAGGAAAGAGGTCACACAATGGCAGGGATTTACAAACCAGGTAATTTATCTATTAGAATTGATGGAAATATTAACTTTCTATTCCAATTCTGTTCTTACTGCACCAAGTAAGATAACAACCTCCCGCAATCCCTCTGAATCAGGGACAGCCTGGAGCTGTCAAACACAACCCCACTGTCTGAAACCCATCACCTTGAGCTTCTTTCCCCACCTTCACACTCGCTTAAAATCCTGTCTCTTCATTGTAACTTTCATTAACACTCTCAAACTCTCCCTTCAGTTCCTCCATCCCAGAGAGAACAACTACTTACATTTATATACAGTCAGTGTGTTTAGGAATCACAGAATCATAGAATTTACAGCACAGAAGGAGGCCATATACTGGCTCTCAGAGCAAGCTATTCAATCAATCCCACTGTCCTGCCTTATCCCCAAATCTCAAGCCTCTTTTTTTTATATGCCTGTCTTGCCGGCTTTCCAACTCTTCCCTCCACTATCCAGCAGATCAATCAAAATTCTGCAGCTCATGTCTTCTCCTGCACCAGGCTCTGTGACCCTATCGCCTCTTCCTCACTTGGCACCACTAGCTCCCAATCGCCAGAGGAGGGCTCTAAATTCTCATCCTCACCTTCAAAGCCCTCCATGGCCTCGCTCCTCCCTACCACTGTGATCTGATGAATCCAAATAGACCTGTCCGCTTCCTCTGCTCAGCAGGCTCCGACCTGCTACATGTTCTCCCATGGCCCACCCCACCATCGGCGGTCAGGCTTTCAGCCTCTCTGCCCCCACCCTCTGGAACTTCATCTGACAGTCCTTAGCCTTGCCCCCTCCCTTGTCTCCCTCAAGGTATATCTCAAGACTCTCCTCTTCGACAATGTCTTTGGTCACACTCCTACCCCAAACCTCCCTGCCCTCCACTGGCTAGAGACAGCACAGAGGGAATAGAGAGTGGGTGACTCTTGTAACGTTATTTGTTGGTTAGACAGCAGTCCAGCCAACAGACTTGAGTCTTGCGCTGGTTCCGTTCACCCACCGATCTCGACTCTCGCACTGGGATTCACTGGGTAGATTATCTCACCTGCCAGGTGATTTTCAACCTCAGTTCTCCTGCTCAGATCCTGCTCTTAATGCTGGCCTGCTTCCTGGTTCGTTTCTCTGCTGATCCGCTCGCCCGCCTGCCACCCTTGCGATCGACTCCCGCTCAGGTTTATCGTCTCCCAATTTCCGGAGGCCCAACCGTTCACTGACTCGCAACTGGCATGTCTCCACCCTCTGCTTCAACTGAATCTTCAGTCACCCTCCTATCCCACCCTCCCCAGCTTGGGTCCATATCCCTGACTGTCCAGCTCCTTGGGACGTCCTTCCGACATGAAAGGCGCTGTGTAAATGTAATTTGTTAAGACATTCCTTCCTGTGTGGTCATTGTATCAGCCAAGATTGTGTCTGTTCATTCAGGTAGTACCAGATACTAATAATGCCTCCTGTTTCTCCCTGGTTTAACAGGTACAGTCAGCGATGTCATGGACAGGTATGTACAGATGTGAGACAACAGCTGAATAAACTGTCTGATATTGTGAATGAATTGTCTGGCTCAATCTGATTAGTTCATTATTCCAACTCCAAATGTGAGAAGATGCAAAAGCCTTGCGTCCCAAACCACCTTTGGGATCCACTCGGCTGCCTCTTCCCTCTCTACTGCCACCGTCCCTCCACCTCCTCCTCACACTTTGGCCCCTACCCATCCTTCTTGCCACACTATCAACCCTGGTAGCCCCTTTTTTCTCAGCTCCATCATGACTAAAATGAAGTCCACCACCTGTCCCTCAACCCCATCCCTGCCCCTCTCTTTATGTCCGAGTTCCACCTCCTTGCCCCTCTATTCATAAATATCATCAACCTCTCTCTGTCCACTGGCACTGTTCCCACTCTCTGGAAAACAGCCATCATCACCCCTATTCTCAAAAACACCTTCCCTGGACCCATGCTTGTTCACCATCCAAACATGTACCATCCACCTTACTGATCCAGTTTGGAACCTTGACATCTTGTTTGACTCTTAACTGTCCTTTCTACCCCACATTAATTAGAGGTGTTCAAATTTATGAGGAAATGCGATAGAGTGAACAGGGAGATACTGTTTCGCATTGGTGGGTGTGTTGGTGACCAGAAGACACTGATCTAAAATAGTTGCCAAAAGAACACAGCAAGTTGTTTGGACCTGGAATGCACTGCCTGTAAGGGTGGTGGAAATCAATTTGATAACAACTTTCCAGAGAGAAGTAGATAGATATTTGGGGAGGACAATTTGCAGGGTTATTGGGAGCGTGGGGGGAGTGGGATTAATTTGGTCAGGTCTTCCAAAGAGCCGGCATGAACATGATGGGCCTGATAGCCTCCTTGTGTGCTGTATAATTCTATGATTGTAAGTCGGCTTTGTTTCAGTGCGGGAAAGAGGAAGAGTCGGTCAGGGCTGTGTGCATTCACAGACCAACCCACTATCACAAGTTCACAAAATTTTGTCTGGCTGAAGAATATCTTTTGGTCCATCCGATCTCGTCTCGCAAAAACATCCATCGTTATAGAATTGAGCTGCTTTTTAAATGGGTCCAGGGCCCTGGCCACAAACTCCATTTCTGGTAACCTGTTCCTGTCATTCATTCCCCTCTGCATCAAGAATAACTTCCTGGTGGCTGTCCTGAAGTTACCTCTGTCCTCTACAACTTGCATTAAACCTATTGCTCTGCCTTTTGTCAGCCAAATTGTCCACCTACTCCATGAATCATCCAGGAGGCCAAAGGCAACCCCTGGACTCCTTCTTCCCCACAAACGTGGAGTCCTGTAGCTCAGTGTGGAGTCCTGTAGCTCAGTGGTTAGAGCACTCACTTTGCAAGTGAGAGACCTGAGTTCAATTCCAGGCAGAGGGCGAAAACTTGGGCAAGTTTCCTTACTCCACACAGAGCCTAATATTAATCCCTCCAAAACCAAAAACAATAATAAATTGGTCATTTTCAATCTACGACTGTTTGTGGGACATTGCTGTGCGCAAGTGGCTGCCGCGTTCGCCCACAAATATACAGTCAATTCACTTTACAGTGTGTTCTGTGAAGCGCTTTGGGACGTCCTCCTGACGTGAAAAGCGCTATATCAAATGCAAGGATTATTATTATTATAAACTAGCTTTTCTGCCCACCTTCCCAATCCTCATCCATTCCTCTCCTCCTTCTTCAAATGTTAGGAGATGAGAGACTTACTCAAGTCCAAAATTGAGGGAATCTACTTGGCTGCCTCCGCCCTTTCTACTGCTGCCTTTTCTGGCTTATCTTCTGACTAGCAGATTGTCAACCTCTTTCTGTCTCCCGGCACAATTCCCAACCCCTTAAAAACAGCCATCATTACCCCCATCGCGAAAAAACGTCACTTGACCCATCTCTGTTCCCTACTACCATCCCGTTTCCAATCTCCATTTCCTTTGCAAGGGCCTAGAATGAGTCACTGCTTCCCAGCTTTGCTCTTTCCTCTCATGGCACTCCCTGCACGAACCCCACTAATCTGGTTTCTGTGCTGCTCAACAACCAAAATTACACTTGCGTCTTTCACATCGGGAGGATGTCCCAAGGCACTATCATGGTACCAAGACTGCCTGATCAATGTTACAATTGACATTGTATCCATCTGTGACCAGGGCTCTCTTTGCCTTCTCATCCTTCTTGATTTCTCTGACACCTTTGACACTATTGACTATTCTATTCTTCTCCACCACTTATTCTCTCTATTCTTCTCTATCTTCATGATTCTGAACTTACTTTGTTTCATTCTTAAATTTTTCCAATCATCTCCACTTTGAATTTACAGACAGTTCTAGTCACTGTGACATAAGGGGCTCCCCAGACCCGAGACACAGTGTAGAGAGCAATGAGGCTGATCCCTAGTGTTAGAGAAAAGAGCCATGAGCAACGATTAGACAAGCTCGAGTTCTTCAGTCTTGAAAAAGACAAAGAGGAGTCTAACATTTTAAATAGAATTAAAACAGAAAACCCAGATTACCAATACAGAAGAACAAGAGGACACAGGTGTAAAGGGCAATTTCAGGATAGACACCAGGAATTTTTCTTTACCCAGAGGGTAATTAATGACTGAAATAGAATGGCCAGAAAGGGTGGTTGATGCCCGGATAATGGACTAATTTAAAAAGCAGCTTGATGCTGTAATGGAGGGATAGGGTAGGTGTTCTGGAGGAATGAAATCAGATGCACCAAAGTGCTTTCTTCTTCCAAACCCACCTTGTGATCTCGTAACATTCAGAGTTCAGGAAGCCACACTTGCTTCCATCTCCTCAGCCACTTTGTTTTTGGTTTAGTCACATGTGTGACACATGGAGATACCCATCACCATGCTTAAGAGCAACAAAACCAAGTTGAGATTTCCATGCAGCCACCTACATATGGAAATGCCAGAGAAAGGTTGTTGGAATGGAAATGCACAATCTCTTCTTGGAGGGATGCATCCTGTTTGCCTAATTCTGGGAAGTATTAGGTGCTAGTTGGCAAGAGACTTGGGGACCCTAAAGTGTGCTGGAGTTTAACAAGTACAGTACTGTCTGGCAAGCTTTCTTGCTGCTTGCCCAGCAAAGATCACTCTACCTGTTAGGCCTTTCACTTAAATGGCTGAGCGCGACGATTCCCTGTACCCAGTGACTGATCTGCAATTCCAAAATACTATTCAACTTCTTAGCCCTGTGCACCCCACCACCACCACTCCTGTGCCCTCTTCGATTCCTTGCCCTATGCCGCTTTCCTTTCCCCAACCTGTGCCCCTTCCATTGCTTGCCCCGTGCCCCCACTCTATTCCCTGCCATGTGCCCCCCTCCCTTCCCTACCCTGTGCCCCCCGCCATCTCTACCCTATGTCCCCCTCCATTCCCTGCCCTGTGCCCCCCTCCATTCCCTGCGCTGTGTCACCCTCCATTTCCTGCCCAGTGCCACCTCCATTCCTGGCCATGTGCTCCTCCATTCCATCCCCTTCATGCCCTCTTCCATTCCATGCCCTGTGGCCTATCCATTCCCCACCCAGTGCCCTATCCGTTGGACACTCTGTGCCACATCCATCCCCCCAACTGTGCCCCTCCATTCCCCGCCCTGGGCCCCCTACATTAACCCCGCACTTTGACACTCTCTTTTCCTCACTGGGTGTCACTCTGTTTGCCACCTGGGCTACTTGTCTTGAATTCTCAGGGAGTTATGTTTGAATTGAAGGTTGAATTGTTTGAATTGTGATTGACATAAGATGCGCATTATACTCACAATGAGGATTAGGCAATGTTTCAGGCCAATGATGTGTGAACGCTCCTGAGATAAAATTGTATTTATAACAGGGACTCATACGAATTGGACAATATAGCCGAGGACTTACAATGTTTTCCAAAGAAGTTCCCTGACTGGAAAGCAAGGATGAATCGATACGTGACATTACTCCAAGAGATCGCAAATAACATTGACCACTGTCACAAAGGTGCCTCCATTGCCAATATTACAGGGTCTTCTGTAGGTGTTATTGGAGGAGCTCTAACTATTGCGGGACTAATTGCTGCCCCTTTCACTTTGGGTACATCATTGATACTCACGGGTGTGGGAGTTGGGGTGGGTGTAGCTGGTGGTGTCACTAACATCACAGCTAGTGCAGTGGATTCTGCTTCACAATCCAATAAACAAAAAAGAGTTAATGAAATCATGGAAGAGTATAAAAAGGACAGTGAGGAAATGGCAGATTGCTTCAATAAATTCCGCAATGCAGTTGATTTCTATGAAAATCACAGTGACAAATTAGTAAAGGATACTTTCATTGGTGTGACTGAGGTCTTTTCAAAAAGCACAGGTGTTATTGCTACAGTGGTTTCAGCCGTAACCAAAACCTCATTACAATCATTCAAGGCGGTTTCTGGCGTTCTGTCAGGACTCTTTGTTGTGTGGGATATCTACACTATTACAGTGAATTCCATTGACCTTAGCAAAGGAGCCGAGACAGAAATTGCTAAACAGATACGAAATGTGGCTCAAAAGATACAGAATGAGGTAATGATGTATGAAGAGGTTTATGAAAAATTACGTCAAACTCTAGAGCAAATCTAGCCCGATGTGCAGCACTCGTGGCTAACTTTGACTTCAGTGCCTGTCACAAACCCCATTTGGGCAGATTGTTAGCAGATTGTATTCTTGTTGTTTATGAACCTGCCATTTTTCAACAATATATTAAGTTGGCTACAGTTTCTCTGATCAATTTCATGTATTTATTTCCGATTCTATTGACTGTTCAGTCTAACCTGATTGTTTTGCTTATGTCCTGCATGTCGTGTGTGAAAACTTGTCTGAGCTATAGGGCGCTATATCAAATATGATTATTATTATTAATCACTGAAAAACAGTTTCAGGCTATGCCAGTGTAATCCTTCCAAGATCATATCTAGATTGTGCCCAGTTTAATGCTAATGTAATCCTTACAGACATCAATGTTATACTGTACCCAGGTCACTGTCAGTGTGATCCTCATGCTGATCAATGTTATACTGTACCCAGCTCACTGTCAGTGTGATTGAGCCTCATGCTGATCAATGTTATACTGTACCCTGTGTTGGGAATTAAAATAAATTATAAAAATGTTGTTTTATTTCAGTGTGTTTAAATATTTAAGTGTGTTTAAATGCTGTCCCACTGATCGCTTGGTCCCAGTCACTGTGTGTATGTTTTGGCTGCTGCCCTGACACGAGCCGCTCCCTCTGAAAATGTTCTTGCTCTTACCCGCCACACTCCGCTACTCCCACTCTGTCCTTCTCTCCCACCTCCCTCCCCGCTTACTATGTCTCCTGGACCCCGCCATTTTACCTCCCTCTGCTGCAGCTTGGACATCCTCCGCCAGGCCCATCGTGGCTCCCAGAGTTGGTTGTCCCAGAGCAGCCACTCCAACTGTCCCATCGCTCACTTTCTCTGCACCAACTGCCTCCAAAAGGCAAACACCCCTTTCCTCCCCCTCATTCATAAGTGTAACAGGTGTCACAGGATAACTGATATAAATGGTGTCCTACAGCTCAGTGGTTAGAGCACTCGCTTTGCAAGCGAGAGACCTGAGTTCAATTCCAGGCAGAGGGCGAAACCTTGGGCAAGTTTCCTTACTCCACACGCCTGATAATAATCCCTCCAAAATCCCCCAAAAAAACAATAATAAATTGGTCATTTTCAATCTACGACTGTTTGTGGGACATTGCTGTGCGCAATTGGCTGCCGCGTTCGCCCACAAATATACAGTCAATTCACTTTACAGTGTGTTCTGTGAAGCGCTTTGGGACGTCCTCCCGACGTGAAAACCGCTATATCAAATGTAAGGATTATTATTATTATTATTATTATAAATCTACATACAATGATATGAGAAGATGCCAATATGTGGAGTAATGGATTATGAAGTGTTAATTAAGAAAGAAGAGGTGAATTTTGTACTGGAGCTGTCGCCTGCTGTTAATTACTGTTATGTACATTGGAGTTTAATCAGCTAAGGCTGATGTGATTAAAATAACTAGGTGGGTGAAACAAGCTGATATCTGGGATAGATAACCAGGATATGAGCAAGTGTATAGATGAGCTACACTTCAGTGTGCGAGTGTGTACCATTCACTCAGCCAGGAGGGAGAACTCCCAGCCCAGGTTTCCGAGATTCAGGTAACATCAGAAGAGGAAAGAAGAACAAACGTCGACGACATGAGAACACAAGTTGCAAAAGATTGAACACTCTGCATTATCGGCGTTTCCACAACAAGTTGGATGCCCATGAACTTTGATATTGTCACTGCGGTGACTTACTGTACATGAGCATAATACTGCTATTGCACCCCACTGATGGATTCATGCAAAAGACTTTGCCTCAGAATTAATGAGCTGTAAAGCCAATGACTTCAGTTCCTGACTCCAGACTTTGGCTAATAGAATAGTTACTATTGAGTAATCTATTAAGATGAATTGGAAAATTGACCAATGAGAGGAAGTAAGTGAAGAGAAGTGAAAGCAGAAGGTGTCGGGAGAAGGGGATAAGGAGAGAGAAGTGGGCAGAGAAAGCGATGGAGAGAAGGAACAAAATAGTAGAGGCAAGTGAGAAAGATGCGGTGAAGGAAAGTGGGAAAGCAGCAGAGAGGATAGAGTGGGGAGTGAAAAAGTGATGGCAGAGGTTGAGAAGGCCATGAGGGTGGACATAACTGCAGAAGGAGAAGAGGCAGCGGGAGGTTGAGAGGCGGCGGAGGAGGGCAACAAGGAGGCGGAGGAGGTTTGAGAGGCTGGGAAGGAGGGCAGAGAGTCCGGGAAGGAAGGCAGAGAGACCGGGAAGGAAGGCACAGAGGCCAGGGCGGGAAGCCGGGGGCAGGAATGGAGAGCAATGATGGTGAGGGCGAGGATGTGGAGTGGAGAGCCCAGGGATTGAATCCCTAAAACCAGAGAGAGTGGATGGGAGAGAATCCCTGCGACCAACAGGAACATTGAGGAAATAAACATTTTGACAAGCCCAACCTCCCGGAAATGAAATGAACAATGAGAGGAAGTATAAAAGGACACTGGGAGTTGGACAAAGGTGTGTTGTAGTGTGGTGCTTTATCACAGAATGGATGGACATGGGGGGCCGGACAGGAAGTGCTAAATGATGGGTGTGAGGGGGCAGGACTGGGAGCAGATAAAGCTCAAGAACCTGCAGCTCCCTCCAGCCAGGGGAGCCCACATCCACCTTCCCCAACCCCATATCATACCCGTCTTGGGGTTGAGACAAGAAAACAGTGAAAAATACAGAAAGGAGGAGTTTTACGTGAAAGACTCCATACTGATCAAGGTCGAGGGGTGGGGGCTGCCATACGTGGACAGGATGGCCTTGTTAAAGAAGGCTCTGATGTGAAACTGGCGTAACTAAGGCAAGGTTAAGGTACATCTGTGCCGATAAAGAAAAGAATAAGTACGAGGTAACGTGTGTCTTGTGTCTTGTACAAATCTCCTTTTTGATGGATTGCCCTCTGGAAACAAGGGGAGGAGACCCTGCGTCCATATGAGATTAGGACCCTCTTCCAGGAGAGATTAATGGAGGAGAGAAAAGTTCTTCTAAGAATGAGTGACCCCCAAGTACCAGAATCCGACAACCTCATTGTTTTTGAGAGGCACTGTGAGGCAGTGCTCAACATGAGGGAGATAAATGAGATTGGGGTCTGGACATCTGATTGGGAGGTGTGTCTGAAGCTACACCATATGTGGAGTCCTGTGGTTTCCTTACTCCACACGCCTGATAATAATCCTTCAAGAAAAAAATAATAAAATTGGTTCACTCATTCCACGAAGGTTTGTGGGATACTGCTCAGTGCAATTGGCTGCCACGTTTCGCCCACAAAAAATATACCGTCAATTCACTTTTCAGTATATTCTGTGAAGCGCTTTGAAACGTCTCGAAGACATGAAAAGCGTTATATCAAATTCAAGGATAATTATTATTACACCGGAAACGTGCATCTCTGCCCTTCTTCATGGCCTCTGCCCTCTTTCGTGGCATCGCTGCCCACCACTATGGTCTCTCTGCCCTCCTTCACGTCCTCCCTGCCCTCCTTCAATGCTTCTCTTTCCTGCCACTCTGCCCTCCTTCACCACCTCACTAGGTGTGGCTGAAGCTACACTGGAAAGGTGAGAGGACTGTTGCTCACATCCCACTCCCCCCCCCCCCCCCCACACGCACCCACCGATTTAACACTGGGAGCTTCAGGGAACCTTGTAATATCTCGGGCAGCCCCGAATGTGTCTGAGGTACGGACGGGTGGGACATTACTTTGCAGCCTGCGCACAAACGGTGTGTTGGAACTGCAAATGTTTTGGCTACTTGGCAAAAGACTGTCCTATGGCTAAAAGATGCGAATTGTGCAGGGAAACAGCCCACTGTATTTGCCCAAGGAGGAGTGGATAGAAACTGTTGAGTCGTCAACCTCTGAGTCGTCAACCCGGATCTCAGGGGAGGCAGCAGGTGATGGGGGTAAAACAGGCAGTCACACAGCGAGGGCAGCAACAGGAGGGGAAGAAGCAACAGCACCAGGTGGTGCTGGTGGAGGTTGTACTGATACCTGGGCGGGGAACGTGAAGTCGTCACTGGGCAAAACCATCTTCCGGGAAGATCCTGACTCAAGCGAGAAGGAACACAACGAGAAAGAGATGGAGGTCACTTCGTATCAACCTCAAAGAAAGAACGATGTGGAAAAGAGGAGTCTGGAAAAGAAGCACTGGGGGCACTGGGAAAACAAGGAAAAGAAGAAGGGTAAAGAAGAGGGAGAAATCCCCCAAAAAGGAAAGAGAGTCCGAGACTAGGGATAGTGGAAGTTTGAAGGAAAGATGGAAAAAGCAAAAAAACAAGGACAATTTTGTCGAGGTTTCTGCCAGGTCCACAACACCAGTGGGATTAAAAGCATCCAGGAGCCTGGAGATGGGGGAACCAAGAAAAAGTAAAAAAAAACTATCTAGACAAAGGGTTGAGGATTATGCCAGATCCTCCAACATCATCGGGTCTAAAACTGGGGATGGACTGGAGATAGGGGGACCACAAGCAAATGGGAAACCCTAGAGCAGGTTGGACTGTTGATGGGGGATCCCGCCAGCTCCCCCAATCCCATTGGGATCAAAATCATGCAGGGAACTGGAAAAGGAGGGAACAGGAAAAAGGTGGTAAGTAACAGTAAGATGTCACTGAGGATAGGTACCCTGAATGTGCACAGTGTGTGTAGCAGCAAGTGTTGTGCTGTGAGACTCCAGAACCTGTCCAGGGTAAAGCCCAATGTTCTGGTCCAGCAGGAGGGCAGGATACTGCACACCGACAGCTGCAGAGCCTGGGCTAAGTGGTGGTTTCCCTATGGACCCTCTGTGGCGTCTGGGGGTAATGGCAGCCGCAGCTCTGGAGTGATGGACCTGCAGCGGGTGAAGAACCTCACTATCACTGCCCGTAACGAGGTGGTGGGGGGGAGACTCCTTATGGTGGATGTGCTGTAGAGAGTCGCTCCGATCAGATTAATTAATGTGTGCACCCAACTGAGAGGAAAGAGGGTCTGGCCTGCTCCAGATGTTTTCTCTGCTGTTGGTCACATCCAGATCAGTCATTCTAGGTGGTGACTTCAATTGCATCTTAGATGCAGATGGAAGAACCATCTGTACTGACAGGAAACTGGGCGTCATGTCCAAGCTTCTAAAGCTGGTGGGGGATGTGCAGTTATGTGACAGCTTTAAGGCCCCCACACACAGCGCACCAAAAGCTTTGACTTCTTCCAGGCCACATGGGTCGGTTTTTTGCGTATCGATTTCCTGTTCCCTTCGAGAGATCGCGAAGTAGAGAGTGCAGATGTCCAACTGCTGTTCTTTATAGACCACCACATCCTGCTGGCTAACCTGCAAGTTTGAGAAAGCTGTAGGATGGGTAAGGGGGATGTGGAAGTTGAACGTGAAATTAATGATCCTGGAAAAAAATGTTGAGTTGCGCAAAGAATATTGAGAATGGAAATCCTTGAGGGATTTCTGCGA